CATGCTTACTGACCACTTAGTGTCATTTTCTCTCTGCAGAGACAAGGACAATATGCACCACCCCCAGGAGCAAGCGATATTTTGGGAATCGAGGCATCTGGACACGTGGCAGAGCTGGGGCCTGGCTGCCAGGGGCACTGGAAGATCGGGGACGTAGCCATGGCTCTGATGCCTGGCGGGGGTCAGGCTCAATATGTCACTGTCCCTGAAGGGTTCCTCATGCCCATCCCAGCAGGACTGACTCTGCCACAAGCTGCAGCCATCCCAGAGGCCTGGCTCACCGCCTTCCAGCTGTTACACCTCGTGGGTGAGGAGCTTCCCACCCTACCCCCTGCTCCATGCTTACTCCATACAGATGTATTCAATTCCTTCCTGACGTGGCCACCTCAAAACCCAGTAGTCCTCCAGGGTAGCTCTGTCCTGTCCTGGTTACTGAGCCACCCCCAAACCCAGCACCACCCCCTACTGAATCACCTGTAAGGTCAGGTCCTCATACTATGTTAGCAGTGGCTTGATGTTGAGGCTGAAAATCAAGGTTATCAGAGAGAAGGCCTGAATAGCACAGGATGTGTGTGTCTTCACATTGTTGGCTACTAGTCACCCCAGCTTCTCAAAGTCATGCTGAGCTTCCCTCTGAGAGCCCTAGTGCAGCAGAAGGAGCCAATCAGTCAATCTTTATTCCTCCCAGTCCCAATGAGGCCAGCCAAAGGTCATGTGAGGGAGCCCAAGACCTTTAGGAAGCTCAGTGTACCTAGGAAGACAGAATGTGTGTAGAATTAGACAACCATAGAGTTCAGGGTCTCTCACGACAAAGCTTGAGATGGGAAAAGTTGGTGTGGGCAAAGGTGGTCAGGGAGGGCTTTCTGGAAGGGAAGGGTGGCTAGAGTTGTGATGGACAGAAGACAGCCACAGTGACCTAAGACAGTGTGTCTTTTACTTTCTTAGAAAGAAAAGAGATTGGCTGCTCTGCTCGGACATGATGGGTGACAATTACCACTGGAGTAAAACGAGGCTGGGACTAAATTGTGGTGGCTTTGAATTGCAGGCTGAATGGACTTGATACAAAAGTCAGTTGAGAGCCATGTCACATTCTGGGGACAAAGTATCAATGAGAACTCCATTTTAGGAGGAGCCTGGTGGCTGGTGTGTATGCCTGGATTAGTGAGATCAGCTGGAGGCCAGTTTCAGCTTCTGGAGGTGACAGTGGGAATGGCGGTTATTCTTACTCATTCAGGTATAGGTCAGAGATAGGTGTTCTGATGTTATTTCAGGTAAAACAAATTACAGATGGGGCTGCTAATAGCTTGCAAAAAGGTGTTTTCTACTTAGACAAGAGGCAATAAGAAAAAAGAACTATCAATATGTTCTCTAGCCGAAACCAGTTTGGCTCAGTGGATAGAGCGTCGGCCAGCGGACTGAAGGGTCCCAGGTTCGATTCTGGTCAAGGGCATGTACAATACCTTGGTTGCGGGCACATCCCCAGTAGGGCGTGTGCGAGAGGCAGCTGATCAATGATTCTCTCTCATCGATGTTTCTAGCTCTCTGTCCCTCTCCCTTCCTCTCTGTAAAAAATCAATAAAATATATATTTAAAAAAAAAATATGTTCTCTAAAGAAAGCAAGATATCTGGCATTTAGCTGTCCCTGGCCAGGTGGCCGTGGTAGAAGATGCCCGTGTGGACACCGTATAGCCGTTGCAAAGTAACGAGAATGGTTTCTGTACTTCCTGTCACAGGACAAGTTCAGGCCGGAGAGTCTGTGCTAATCCACGCAGGAGCAAGCGGGGTGGGCACAGCGGCCATCCAGCTCGCCCGGATAGCAGGAGCCATTCCCCTGGTCACAATCGGCTCCCAGGACAAGCTCCACATGGCAGAAAAACTCGGAGCAGCTGCCGGATTCAACTACAAAGAAGAGGACTTTTCCCAAGCAGCGATGAAATTCACCAAAGGTAAACCACAGCCTCTGCAGCTCAGCAGGAGTATCAGGGCGATGACATGAAATCCCAGCCAGCCTCGAGGCCAGTGCTCTGGATCTGTCTGGCCTCTGCTAAATGCACAACAGCTGCCCCGGCCAAGTTCTGGGACTCTGGTGTTGGATCCTTTGAAGACAGTCAGGCAATATTTAGGATGAAGACAGTTTGCATGTGTATTCTTGTGATCTGATTCATACACATTTTAGAAGCTGGGTAGCCATGCAGAGTTGGCCCAAAATGACCCAGGACTTCTTATTCCCAACCAGCCAGTACACAGGGCATTGAGAGGAGACGTGAGGCAGAGACCAGTTGGGAGATGGTCATAGTAGGTAGTATTTCGAAGGCTAAATGGATGAGCTCTGTGTTCCAAATCCAAATCTGAATATTTTTGGCACTTCCCTTTCCATGAGTCAAAAAGGAGAGATGACACCAAGGCTACAATTCAAACAACCCAGTGCAGAGGCTTCTTAACCCAGGTGTGTACTACCAGCCTGCCCCAAAGACTGGAGTGGGCATCTCCGGTTCTGTTCTCACGCATGCCCAGGTGCCAGTGGGTTTTCTACTTATGTGGGGGTTGGGGAAGATACCAGAGCATGGGGTTGCCCCATTTCCCTCTTGCTGTGGCTACAGATCATAAGAGATGAACTATTTCAAGCACGGATGGCAGAGTTCAGCTATCTAAACTCCATTCAAACGTTTCTATAAGCAGTGTTTCTAGTTCCAATGTATAGATTTACCACTTGTGCCAGTGTTTATTTATAGCCACACATCCACAAATGTACTCTGGGAATATTATTTTGCATCAAGCTTTCTGTGTCTGACTAGCATAAATTGTGTTTCCTGCGGAAGGTGCTGGAGTCAACCTTATTCTAGACTGCATAGGCGGATCCTACTGGGAGAAAAATGTCAACTGCCTGGCTCTTGACGGCCGCTGGGTTCTCTACGGTCTGATGGGGGGAGCCGACGTCAATGGGCCTCTGTTGTCGAAACTGCTTTTTAAGCGAGGAACTCTGGTCGCCAGTCTGCTGAGATCTAGGGACAAAAAGGTGAGTGATGAGTGAAAACTGTTACGCAGAGCAATGCGACTCATTTTCCTCACCCCGGAGAAGGGGAGATTTGGCACATCTTAAGTTAGGGAGCCTGTGGAGAAACCTGCCCCTCTGTGGGTAAACAGTTAACCCGATTTCACAGAACTAATTAACATTGGTCAACAGAAGCCTCAGCATCTTAGGAGGGTAGAAAACACTTCATAGATGAGACCTGAGGAGACTCTCTTAACAAAGCAGGGACCATATCTGGAAATACTTTTAATAGTTCCAAGACTGTTTTGCAAGGCAGAAAGCCTCTTAGGTGAGGAACTCTCCACCTCAGCCTGAAATCTCTGCAGGCCAGCTTTGGGAATGTTTCCCAGCATAAGGTTTCACACAACGGGGGGAACAGAGCTGAAACACGTCCCCTGTGAGCTGAGTCTATGTAAGATCTGTCTCTGGCTGCCTCCAACTTGAAATCTTTATTTTAAAATCCTTAGGCTGTCAGTGACACTTGTATTTTACTCCACGCTGCAGCCCTTACCTGGTTACACATTTGGGGACGTGCACATACATGCTGGTAATGGAGGGGTTAGGTACCCCTGTGTGCTTTTGCAAATAGGTTCACTTTTCAGAGAGACCACAAAGGCTAAGCAGGATCGGGGGGTAGCAAGGTCAGGCTCTGTCCAGGCTGATGGTCTCTTTTCTGTATCCTAGTACAAGCAAATGATGGTGAAGGCTTTTACGGAGCAAATTGTGCCCCATTTCTCCATGGAGGGCCCCCAACGCATACAGCCGGTTCTGGACAGAATCTACCCTGTGGCTGAAATCCAAGAGGCCCACAAGTACATGGAGAGTAATAAGCACATGGGCAAAATCGTCCTGGAGATGCCCCAGTGAACGAGGAGGGGGCACTCGAGGAAAAGGGTGCCTCCGACCTTCCCAGAGCAAATTGGGAATTCTCTGAACGCAGGCCAGAGACGGGCTGCTACTCCACGCCCACCTGTAACCCACTGGGCCTTCCCCGGCCTCGTCGACTGATCTGTGTAAAGCTGGTCTAAGGAAATAAAGAGTGAAGGGAAGCAGGCTCTCTGTGCTTGGCGTGTGCACGTGGACGAGGCCAACAGGGCGGGGACGAGGTGGGAGATGGGATGGGCGGGGCGGGGAGGAGGTGGGAGATGAGATGGGCATGGCGGGGAGGAGGTGGGAGATGAGATGGGCGGGGCGGGGAGGAGGTGGGAGATGAGATGGGTGGGATGGAGAGGATGTAGGAGAAAGGATGGGCGGGGCGGGGAGGAAGTGGGAGATGGGATGGGCATGGCGGGGAAGAGGTGGGAGATGAAAGGGGCGGGGAGGAGGTGGGAGATGGAATGGGCATGGCGGGGAGGAGGTGGGAGATGGAAGGGGCAGGGAAGAGGTGGGAGATAAGATGGGTGGGATGGAGAGGATGTGGGAGAAGGGATGGGCGGGGCGGGGAGGAGGTGGGAGATGGGATGGGCGGGGCGGGGAGGAGGTGGGAGATGGAAGGGGCGGGGAGGAGGTGGGAGATGGAAGGGGCGGGGAGGAGGTGGGAGGTGGAATGGGAGACCGGGCAAGCGTCGAGCGGGGATTAGAGGAGAGGCCGGGCCAGCAGACGCCCAATCTCCAGGGACTGCGCCAGGGTTCCAAATGCGGAGACAGAACCCCGTAGCATTGCCGGGAGCCCGGGGCCCCGCACACAACTCCGCACCGCCGGGCGCCCAGCAGCCGGGTCCTTCCACCAGGCCCGCCCCCTTCCGGAACGCACCTGCGAACAGCCCCAGCTCTAGTCCCTCTCCTCAGGCCCCGCCCCTTCCGGCAACTTCCTCCACATAGGGCCACCCTGACAGGAACTCCGCCCCTCCCGCGGCCCAGGCCCCGCCCCTTTCAGCCGGAACCCGGAAGCGCCGCGGGCTTTCGCCTTTCCTCCTTCCGGCCTCCTGGCGGAGTGCGGCTCGTTGCGCTCCGGAGTCACGTGAGACGTAGCGTTCCTGCGCGGCGTCACAGCTTCCGGCGGAGCCAGGGTGTTGATGTCCCGCGGCGAAGGCCGTGTTGAGTTGAAAGCTGAGCGAGCTCAAGAGGAATAAGGGGGAATTCTAGTATCTGCTGCGGTAACCTCATCAGCCCGCCAAGATGGCGATGCAAGCGGCCAAGAGAGCGAACGTAAGTAACGGGGATGTCTGCCGGGGAGGGGAAGGGCTTCGCTGGGCACTGGCGGCGGGTGGTCTTTCCCCGTTCCCAGGCCGGGGGAGCCAGGAGGTACCGGGCTGCTGGAGGGAGCTCAGCCCGGCCTGTTCCTGGAGCCACATCTCCGCCCTCACCCCTTTTGAGAGTTCTCCTTCCGTCTCTTGTCCTAGCGTCAGCCCCACAGCCTTGGTGGCTGCACCTTCTCGGCTTAAACGTCCATAACACAGATAAGTCCCCAATAAATAACCTAATGGTCAACAGGCGACGAGAGCCTGAGAGTCTTCTCATCCCGGAGCTCTTTGGATCCTTCATGGGCCTTTTAATTTAATTTTTTGTTTCATTGATTTTTTTTTTTTTTTTTAGAGGGCTGGGGTGCGGGAGAGAAAGAAACATCGATTTGTTGTTCGACTTATTTATGCTGTCATTGTATGTGCCCTGACCGGAGATGGAACCACAATCTTGCTTTGGCTTATTGGGATGATCTTGTAACAAACTAAGCTACCCGGCTGGGGCAGATCCTTCATGTTTTGGTTCAACAACATTTTAAGCACCTACGATGTACCAGACTTGCGAGATAGGAAACAATTTATCAGTTACATTAATTGAAAAGCTGCCAGGTGCAAGACATTAGTCTAGATGTTGGAGATGCAGCAGCGCGGCTGCTTACATCCTTACCTTAGAGGGGGGGGGGGGGCGTTAAGGAACCCTAAAATAAAAAATAAAAAATGTTCACTTCTAAGGTGCTGAAAGGTATAGTAAGATGAGGGCAGATGATTGGACATGGTTATGGGGAGACTTTTGGTGACGTGGATGCTTTTCATTTCAGTGGATGAAAACAGTAGTGGTGGGGTGAAATGGAGGATGGGAGTTTAAGAAAGAGGAGACAGTTCTTTCCACAAGTTTTCATGAAGACAGGGGAAGAGCAGTTAGGTGGTAGCTGGCTTATCCTTTTGAAGACGTGTGATATAAGGTTATTTTTGTATGCTAGTGGGGATGGTGATCTAGTAAGTGGGAGAAACGAAAAAGATGGATTAAGTTCAGGGGGGGTTGGAGTAGATGAGGGGTTGACCTAGTACTGAGAGGGAAAGTGGGTTCATGTGGATGAATGCAGATTGGCAGGTTTGGTACCAATTGGTCATATCTTTTTTCCAATAAGCAAGAGTCCAGGTCATCTCTCAGTATGGGCAGGGAAGAGAATACACAGCCCCGCTCAGATATTAGAGGGGGCGGTAGTGGTAAGATGTGAGGCAAACCAGTTGTATTGGCAATCAAATATAAATGATAAATGTATTGACTGGAAGCCTGGGTTTTGTGGTAGCCGCTTATTCCTACTGATAGCCTTCCCTGGAATCAGTGCGCAGTTGCTTTTCCAAAGAGCATGCCATTTTCAGTATAGCAGATTATAACTTTTAGTCTTGGCTTTTTTTTTGTTTACTATTTTTTTATTATGAGATTTTCTTGTTCATTATGAGAATTTTTAAAAACAGTAGCATTCTTTCTCCTAATTTGACAACATGTATTTCTCATTTTAGATTCGACTTCCACCTGAAGTAAATCGGATTTTGTATATAAGAAATTTGCCTTACAAAATCACAGCTGAAGAAATGTATGATATATTTGGGAAATACGGACCTATTCGTCAAATCAGAGTGTGAGTTGACTGAAACTTTTGAAATGTCATTTAAATAAAATGATTGCATAACCTATAATCTTGGAATTATAGCTGACAAAGGGGGCCTAGAGCCTCCGAGGCTAATTGAAGTCAGGGAAATGAGATTCTTTTTGTTTTGTTTGTTTGTTTGTTTGTTTACAAAGGGGAACTACCTACTGAGGTCCTTATGATCCAGCTCAGTGAGAGCCAACTAATTGTGAGGTTACTGAGAGCATGAATAGTTTGAAGGGTCTGGAAGGGAAGGAAGTTAGAACTAACATTTATTGCACACCTGCTCTTTGTAAAGTCAAAAACTATGCTGCTATTATATGCATTAACTCCAATTTTTCAACGATCTTCACTGTCTCTTTTACTGACTGCAGAATTTCTGAATAAACTGAGTAGATGGACATAAAAGTAACTGAGAAAAATGATTTTTTTTTCCTCCAACTACAATTTTCTGTGCAAGATTTAAAAGTATAGGGAACCCTTTCCCTAATCTGCTCTTTAAATTAAAATAAATTTTTTTTTTTAAAGAAAAACTCCCATTGAGACATTGCTGACTAATAGGAGCCATCACTCCTCAATACTGTACTTTCCAGTGTAAGGCTGAAAATTGATTCTTAATATGAGAAGTAGGAAAGACTAGAACGTGAAGATTATGATGAAGTTTCAAACTAGTTTTTTGCTGTTACTGATTAGGCAGCTATATTAGCATTCGTGATATAACAGTAAGTTTAGCCTATTGCTATTTCACTTAAAAACAAAAATTACCTAATTCAAGAAACTACAGGATTCCCCAGCATACCCTTCCATAAGGTTTATTTCCTCTAATGGTTTTCAGGTGGATATTTGTTTAATTAAGTCTGATTCAACTCTGCAGGGGGAACACACCTGAAACTAGAGGAACAGCTTATGTGGTCTATGAGGACATCTTTGATGCCAAGAACGCGTGTGATCACCTGTCCGGATTCAACGTTTGTAACAGATACCTCGTGGTTTTGTACTATAATGCCAACAGGGTGAGTATAGCACAGTTCTCTCCTGGGGCGGCCCATTTAAGAGTTCCTGCAGAACTGCACCGCTAGGGGAGATGGGTACTCTGAGCTCCTCTCTGGCTGGTGCTATTAGTGGAATTCATTGGCCCATAGATTGGTAACTGTTAACTTTGGCACTTACCACATTTTCAGGCATTTCAGAAGATGGACACAAAGAAGAAGGAAGAACAGTTGAAACTTCTCAAGGAAAAGTATGGCATCAATACGGATCCACCAAAGTAAACGTTTTCTGCATTTTTATTTTGGACTGAAAAACCCATGAATCACCACTCTACCCTTTTTCAGTTTTTAATTAATATTGATTATTGCAGTTTCTTGAGGTTAATGACGTGCTTGAAACTTTGATACATATTAGAATGTATTGTTAGTAAACCTGGAGCTTTTTATAAAACATGTCAGTGTTTTCTCTTGAATTTTCCCCTTGTTTGATACTGGGGTGGGGGTTACGGGGAATTGCAGTTGAACCATCTCAAGAATGCTGTGGTAGAAGGACTGAGCTTCTTGAGCAGAGATCTTTTTGTATTCTTAATGTCTCCAGTGTGCAGTCCAGAGCTTAGCCATCAGGGAACTTGTGAGAGGGTCGTCATTTATTGAGTGGCTATTAATAATGAAATCTTCATAATTAATAGCCATAATAACTTCATAATACTACTCAGTGTAGGTAGTATCTCCATTTTGCAGATAGGGAAATCAAAGCTCATCGTGTCGGTTGAATGAATAAAATGCTTACATGAAGAAGTTGCTGTAACATCAACCAGGTATTAACCATGCCAGTACATTTGAATAATACTTTATAATTAACCAAAGACCTTTGTTGATATGGGTACCCTTGTGTTTAGAACAGAGGTCTATTCTAGAAATGGTCAAACAGCAGCACATTGTTAGATAATTGAGAGCAAGCAGCTGGGGTAGTGTTGTTTCATGTGTGAGATTGTATTAATGTAGTCTTTCTGTTTAGTTAATAAGCGTCTGTGTATATTTTGGACCTTAGTTTATAGTATATTTTTGTTACACAAAAATATGTGATGCTTATTCTTATAATCATGAGTTCTCATGGCATGGAAATAATATGGTTATTACCACATTCATCATAGTCTGGCAGCCGGGAGGAGATAGCTGTAATTTTCTTTTTATAGTTTAGGCATAAACCAAATGGGAAAACATGGGCTATTTGTATATATATATATAAATATAAAACTATAACCCAAAACCAACTTGAAGAATACAAGGACTAAGTCATTTAACTGGACAAACAGCATCTATTCTACTTTTAAATGCACTTAGCTTTGAAATCTATCATTACTTTAAGAAAACAGGCTATTATATCCTTTTGTACTATCTTCTCAAAGCCTACTATTGAAAATGAGGAAATAATTGTCTTTACTTATGTCTGAGTGCTTTTTGAAAGCACTGTAAGAGTCATTTCTAAGGGCAGGCATATGACAAAGGAGCCACAGGCTGTAATTTTCTTACGAATGCTTTTGTGAATTCCATATCGATTATTGTGATTCATGATGTGCCTTTAGGTATTTACAAATTTAAAACTAATTTTCTAAAAGACGTTGTAAGGGGAAAACAAATTAGACTTACAGTATGATGTGTCTAAGTGGCAGACTGGCTTGCCAATAGTGTAGTTGTTTGAAATTAACAACAAGGGGAAATTCCTATTGACAAATATGGCCAGTCCATTATATGGATTCATATATGTTAGCTAAATTCTCTGTTTGGCAATTTTGTGTCCTGTCCTAGTTAAGATATAAGAACTTTAATTTAGTGGACAAATATTGAGGACCTGCTCAGTGCCAGGTCTGTGTATGCTAAGACGCTGAGGATTCAGTTATAATTCATCCTCTGTACTAGGCATCGAAGGCTGTTTTTCAAACTGCTTTTATGGTTGCAAGGAATGATTATATCCGTGCACATGTATGTACACACATGTCTGTCAGAGCTGTTTTACATTCTTCGAGGTTAAATTTCTCGTTTCTGAGAAAGATGTTGTATGACTCGAGGATGTGTTAACCAGAAGTTTGAAAATGACTGATATGACAGCTCATTGTCACTCTCCTGCTTAACAGCTTTCCGTGGCTCTCTCAGGACAATGTCCAAACTTGTGAGCATACTGTGTCCTGATTCTCTGCATTGTCTTTTAAGAGCATCAGCAGAGCAGGGCCTGCGAAGCCTGGCATGTCCTTTCCAGGTGCTAGCCAGTAGGTATATGTAGTTGTTTATGTTTGTGCTGGTTCTTAGTGTCTCCTTTTACCACCTGTGCTATACTAGGACACACTCCAGACAGATCCTTTATACCAGTGGTCGCCAACCTTCCGGACCACCAGTGGTCTGCGGACCACCGGTTGGCGACTGCTGTTTTATATGACTCGGTAATGGTCACCTTCAGTGGTCCTTGGTGCCATTTTCGTTATCCTATTGGTGTCACAGCAGAAAACAGGCTGAATTCTCAGAAATTATCATAAGACATTGTGTCAAGGAAAGCTGGAAGCTAAGACATTCTGAAGAAAACACCCAGAAAGGAGTGAATGCAGCCCTTCTATATAGCTGGCCTCGTTCCACAGGAGAAGGGAGCCCAGGGACTGGGTGGTTAAAAGCAGTGCAGCCCTCTTCTCATTTCATTCCCCCATCTCAAAGGCTGCTGCTTTTAACCCCTCAGTCCTCGGCAGAGGGCTACAGCTCTTTTGTCTTCCTGGAGACAAAAGGTAGGTGAAGTAACCAAGATGATGAGTCCCCCACCCCCATATCATATATATGACATGAGTCTGGAGGAAGCCAATAGTACCTGTTCCCAGCCCCTCTTAGTCTTAATCTCAAGTTAAGAGGTTGCTGACAGAATACTCCTCACTAAGTTTAAAAACTATCCCAACTAAAAGGAAAATCTCCCAACCATATTGATGAGCACACCAATAAGCGGGCTGATTTAAAACCTACCTGAGAACTCCCGAGAGTTACAGTGAATGCTGATTAAATTAAACAGGATATGTGGAAACGAAGCAGAAACATACATTCTTCTCTGTAGTAATTCCCACCGTCAGTTAGAACAGATCTAGATGCAGCTAAGCAGTGAATGTGAAAACAAGCTCAGAATCAGTCTTTTCAAAAGTAACTTAATGTGAGTGAGCGTGTGGCTCTCAGGCCTACCACACCTTCATCTGTTCAGAGGCACATGTTCTTTTCCATCTGGGTGAAGGTTGCTCATCCCTTTAAGTACAAACAACTACAAATCTCAGGATCCCAAAGTGCTGGAATCCACAGAGCCTGTGAGATGAGTGGCAAATAACACCTATTATACAATACTTTGTAGGGCTGCTCAGAGGATTGGTGACCAACTTATTTTAAAATATACAGAACAAGGCTCAGCATGTGCGGTATCCACACTAATTATATTTATTCTCTCTCCTGGCTACTTGGAAGGCTCCTTTCCACTATTTTTCCCAAGGGCGACTGGCTGATGTCGTCCTTCAAGCACTTCCTCTCTACAGTAAGGATGGACAGGATTTGTCAAGCACAGAGCCTTTATTTTACACGTCATTTCCAAAGAGGACAGTTTGTAAGTCAGCAGCCAACAGTTTCTAAGAGAGAAAGTGACAGCAAAGGTAACTGACTCAAGTCCCTCGGTGTACGCCATGTACATTTCGTGTCTGAGCACCTTGTGTGTCTGGCTTAAGTGAAGGTAAGGCAGTGTAGATTGTGCAAACAAGAAATTTTGTGTTCTCAAGAATGGCTATTACATGCAAAACGTACAACCTGAAATGTTTCGATCTGCAACCGAAGTTTCCTCAAGCAAAGATGCGCGTGAACAATGACCAACACATACAGAGCAGCTTGGGCAGAGAGAATGGATGATGTCGTGGGGCAGCGCACTGATCAAGAGCCCCAAGCAGGAGGAGCCGTCCCAGTGGCAGAGCAGCGAGGAGGGTGAGCAGCAGCCATCTCCCGCCACCTTACATTCCTTCCTGCCTTCACTCTAAGTTGAGCAGCTCCACGTCAAAGATGAGGGTGGCATTGGGAGGGATGACACCGGGGTGGCCAGTGACTCCATATGCCACATCCGGGGTGCAGGTCAGCTTCGCCCTCTGCCCCAAGCTCATCTAGCAGGGATGGGGCAGGTTGGGAGAGGAGAAAGAGGACCCAGCTTGATTTAAAAGAAAAAAGTAAGGTAACTATGGCATTTTCCCAAACCATCCTCGTGGTAACTCTGGAAACCTGAGGTGAATTTTATGCATGGCACACATGCATGTTATGTGTTAAAATATGTTGTAACACATGCAGATTCTGCCTCAGAATAGGATAGTAACTTTCACAAAGCAGTCTCTGATTCATTCATCCAACAAACTGCTGGTAATCAAGTAGTATATGGCCCAAACACTTCTATTTGTTCATAATTGTTCCCCACCCTCTTCCTAAAGAGGGTGTTGAAAGCACATGTACCTGCACACAATCAAGTGGGTGGCAGGCAGTTCATTAGAGAACTTGAGATCAGGGCCACAGCAAGGTGGAGAGGGTAAAAGAACTACAGTGGAGCCTCAGGTGGCTTCTCACACCCAGGAAGCAGAGCTTGAACAGGGCTCATCACGGCAGTCATCAAGACACATCTGGTGCCCAGTCGGTGTAGCTCAGTGGATGAGCATCGATCTATGAACCAGGAAGTCATGGTTCAATTCCCAGTCAGGGCACATGCCCAGGTTGTAGGCTCATTCCCCAGTGTGGGATGTGCAGGAGGCAGCCAACCAATGATTCTCTCTCATCATTGAGGTTTCTATCTCTCTCTCTCTCCATCTCCCTTCCTCTATGAAATAAAAAATAAAAAGACCGGCCTGGCATTAGTGAGGCTTAGTGAAATGTGAATAAACTGATTTTTAAATACTGAATATTTGACTCAAAAATTTGAATGATTAGTTAATAGTGTATCAATGTTAATGTCCTGATTTTTGTCACCTATAATAATAATAGCATAAATGCTAATTAGGTCGGACCAAGCCGGGGTTTAAGAGTAGCCAGTGCCAGCAGCCAGGGGAAGGAAGGAAGGGCTACTTTTCCATAAATTTTGTGCATCAGGCCTCCAGTCTTATTATGATATGTAAAGTGTTACCGTTTGGGGAAGCTGGGTAAAGAACATATGGGAACTCTACTATTCCTGCCATATTTTTGCAAGTCTGAAATTGTGGGGGGTTTTTAAAGTCCACCTTAGCCTACCCTACCCCAACTCTTGTGCTGCCTTGGTCAGGGACAGCTGGAAGCTCACAGGCCACCCAGCTAGTTTAGTTCTGCTCAAACCCAGAAGGTGAGTCTGAGATATAAGAGCCCCCAGTGACACAAGAGTCATGCTGGCAACAGAAAGGGTGGGGACAAAGCCAGGACTGAAACTAGACGTTGTGCTGCAGTGGTCTGTGATAGGGTGGGGCAGTGCTGAGCTCAGATCCCAACTCCTCAAATCTCCCCTAAGGAGGATCTTCATCCTACCTGGGCTGCACCCTCTTCAAAACCCTTGATGACTTCCTGTTTGCCAATTCTGAACTTGAAAGGTTTGTTTCTGTCTCTGGATGAATCAAATTTCTTCCCATTTTGGAGCATTCCTGTGAAAACAATAAGGTGGAAAAGAGCTGTGATCATTAGTCAATTTGGACTCCATGCATCTAAAACGGAATTCCTATTCTGCACTAACCTCCTCTTCCAATCTTCCCCATCAGACCTGTTGCCCAAAGGAGAATCGTGGACTCTTCCCTATGCCTTATCTCATATACAGCCTATCGACAAGTCCTTCATATCTTTGGAATTACCTGTTTTCTCCATTTCTATTACCACCATCGTGGGGCCCCACCGAGACACCATCCTGTCTCCCTTGTGTATAGGAATAACCTCCAATGGGCCTTTGCTCCACTCTTACTTCAGGAATTGGCTGTTACCTGCCTGATAACCCTCTCTCTGCTCTCCACTTCCTTCCCTTTCCCTGCCATGTCCTATTCAGTCACACCTTAGATGCCTCTGCAGTTAAACCTGTTAAAAATATGACAAGAAGGCATGCCATAGCATGGGAGATGTTAGAAATGGCATAACCAACAAAAGACTCATCTCTAGAATAAGTAATTTCATAAATCAAAATTCAACCTAATGTTTTTTAATGGGCAGAATTTAAGCAGACTAGAGGATATCCAAATGGCCAGTAAGTACATGGAAGAACTCAACTTCATAAGTCTTTAGGACAATGCAATTCAAACCCACAATGAGATACCACTGGGCACCCAGACTGTGCCAAAAACAAAACTTGATAAAATCAAGTGTTGATGAGGATGCAGGAGAACTGGCACTCAAACATTGCAGGTGGAAGTGGAAATTGTAACAACTTTGGAAAGCTACTTGCATAACTGAACAGGCATAACCCTGTGCCCTGGTGATTCCACTTCTGGGCATATACCCAGCCAAAATGGATACAGATGTGGATCAGAAGACATCTTTGTTTAAAGCAAGACTTTTCATGATAATGCAAAACTATAAACAATCCAAATGGCCATCAACTATAGAAAGGATGTGTAGTATCCTATATAATAAAAGGCTAATATGCAAATTGACCAAATGGTGGAACCACTGGTCGCTATGATGAGCACTGGCCACCAGGGGGGGCAGACACTCAATACAGGAGCTGGCCCTGGTGGTCAGAGAGCTCCCCCTGTGGAGCCAGAAGCAGGGCTCATGCTGGCTGGCAAGCACAGTGATGGCAGGAGCCTCTCCCTCCTCCACAGCAACACGTGAGTGGGCCTAAGTCAGACATACTCCGAGGACTCCCAGACTGCACGAGGGTGCAGGCCAGACTGCGGGATCTTCCCCTCTCTCCCCCCCAGTGCACAAATCCCATGCACTCAGCTTCTAGTATTCATATAATGGTACAGAGGCAAGGAATGGTACAAACACAGAAAAAGAACCATTCTGCATAAATCTCACAGACATAATAGTGAGTAAATAAGCCAAGCATAAAAAAGTACACATTCTAGCCCAGGACAGGTAGCTCAGTTTGTTGGAGTGTGGTCCCATACACCATAGGTTGCAGATACGAAACCTGGTGAGCTGGATATGGGAAGCTACCTATCAATGTTTCTCTCTCTCTCTCTCTCTCTCTCTCTCTCTCTCTCTCTCTCTCTCAAAATAAACATATCCTTAGGTGAGGATTATAACAAAGGAGAATGCACTCTGGTTCCATTTCTATGACAGGCAAAACCAATCCATGCGAACAAAAGTCAGGACACTGATTATCTTCAGGGAGGTGTGGTAACTGGAAGGAGACAGAAGGAAGACTCCGTGCACATGTTGATCTGTGTGGTGGTTACCTGCGTGTGATCACTTTGAAAAATTTCATGGAGCTGTACCTTTTAGATTTATGTTCTCTACTGTATTTATACTTAATAGAAAATATTTACCAAAAAGTCCCACATAATCTACTGTGATGAGATAGTCCCTCCTCAGACCAGAGCCACTCGTAGCTGATGTTGTTTAATGCACGCTGCCCGCTCTCTATTTTGTGAAAAGTCTTTGCAAAAAGATGTTGTGGTTTCAGTAATTGGATAAGTACAGATCCGTCTGCAACATGTAGGACAGATAAATCGATTACCCAGGTCAGAAGCTCCAGAGGATTCGTGGTAATGAGGCCACATCCCTGGGAGATAGAACACAGCTCCAGCCACTGACGTCAGCGACCGGCAGCACAGCAGTTGAGAAAAATACCCCCAGTATCTATCTAGAATTAACCTGCTCTTCACACTGGCCCGGAGAACTGCTAAAAAATGGCCCCATCTCCACACATCTTAGGAATTAACTGGCCTTGTTGTCTGCTAAGTAGCTGTCAACATGCTGGCCCCACTGGGAAGCAGGTCACATAGCAGGGCACTCTCCCTCCCCCCTGTCTTGGAACAAACACCTGCTTGTGATCTTCCTGCCAGCAGTCTCCGGGAACTCCATCTAGCGCAGTGGTCCTCCACCTTCCTAATGCTGCGACCCTTTCGTACAGTTCCTCATGTGGTGGTGACCCCCAACCATAACATTATTTTCGTTTTATGAATCGTAATGTAAATATGAATCGTAATGTTTTCCGATGGTCTTAGGCTCTACAGCAGCGGTTCTCAACCTGTCGTGACCCACAGGTTGAGAACCACTAGCAGAGTTGCTTAAGACCATCGAAAAACACAAATATTTATATTATGATTCATAACAGTAGCAAAATGACAGTTATGAGTAGCAACAAAAATAATTTTATGGTTGGGGGTCACCACCGCATGAGGAACTGTATGTATTAAAGGGTCACAACATTAGGAAGGTTGGGAACCACTGATCTAGAAGGTTCACAGCCCACCTGCCCTTCCGATAAGATCACCCAGGAGGGGTCAGCAGAGACGCAGCCCCTCCGCTGGCTCCCACAGCAATGCTGCCATCCCAGTCCTCACACTGCGCCAGGGCCTGGCATGACTTGTCTGCCCTCTCCCACTCCCAGTGCCCAACACAGCATTTTGCACACAGTAGGTGCTCAATAACAGTAGGCTGAACTGAAAAGAAAGGGGGAAAAAGTTCTGAGGAAGCCACCCTCCTCTAATAACACCATCTGATGAAAAGGGAGTCTGCAGGGATGGACAGGGCTCTGCGCGCTGTACGAGGGATTTCCACAGAACCAGGAGGGCCAGGGTTCCACTCCCCACACAGAGGCGAGGAACCACGGATGACTCCTGCTGGTATAAGTGGGAGAGGTTAACCTTGCAAGCCCCCTTCCTCATTTCCGCAAGGCTGGCTGGGAGAGGTGGGGGGTAGCTGGTCAGATGGAGGCTTGGTTGCCTTAGGCTTTGGGCCTGATGCAGGGGATAGGATGTGTCTGGGGAGGGGTGTCAGAGGAGGGACCCGCCTTGGGAAGGGCAGGTCTGATGAGGGCTAGAGAAACAAGGCCTACCTGTGTAGTGCACCACACACGTCTGGCCCTTCTTGGGGAATGTCCTTCCTGCAAGAAGACATGAGGGCACATGAACAAATATGGTAGACAAAGTCACCTGGGACATTCGGGTGTGAATGTCCATACCAGGAAGATGCCCCTGGCTCTGTGCCTTGTATAAGCCAGATTCATCACATCACCTCTCCGGCCTTGACTGCAACTTGATTTCCTTGGGTTCCTCAACTCCACTCTCTCCTGGTTCTTTCGCTTACTTTGCTCCTTTTACTTTCCCTCATTGAGTCCATAAGCCTTCACTGGCAGCCTACTATATGCCAGGCCTGGATTATCGATAGATTCCAGAAACAGAGCAATGTATGAACTCATGAGGAAATAAGGGAAACAGACACATAAGTCGATTCTGAGGCAGAGTGATGACTGTGATCAAAGACGAATAAACACAGTCACTCACAAATATTTACCGAACGCCTGGACCCGGTGCGGGGATTACAGCAGTAAACCACATAGGCAAGATCCCTACTCTTTTTGGAGGGGGACTAACAATCCTCAAATAAACAAGGTCATTAGAGATTGTGATAAATTCTCTAAAGATGAATTAAAGAGAGACAGAAAGGGTGACCCAGGATGGCCTCCGAGAGCTGAGACCTGAGGATGAGCACACGTTGGGAAACCACTGAAAGGAAGAAGGCTCAGTGAGTGTACCAGCCAGAGGCAGGAGAGGACTGGTGCATCGGCAGAACAGGAAGGAGGCCAGGGACTGGGAAGAAGGGCGGGAGGAGGAGAGGAGAGGAGCCGGACTGTGCCAGAGCGTGCAGGGCTGGGTTTAATTCTAAGTGCAACAGAAAGCCACTGGAGGGTTGTAGGCAAGAATGACCTAATCTGAATTAAGATTTTATAAGATCACTCTGGCTGCTGTGCGCAGGACAGACGGTCAGGCGCCTGTTGCCGAGATCCAGACAGGAAATCAATGATGGCCTGAATTAATGTGGTGGCAGTGGAGAAGGGAGCCAAAGAGATAGGAGATAGATTCTAGAAGCGGCGCTGACAAGGAGGGGAGTCGGGATTTAGGATGAGGGAGAACAAGAAGTCAAGCGCAATGCTTGGGTTTTCAGGTTGGGCAGCTAGGTGGTGGTAGAATAGATTTCCTAGATGGGGAAGACTGGGAGGACAGATTTATGAGGGTGGCAATCTTTTTAAAAAATATTTTTTAATTGATTCCAGGGATAAAGGGAGAGGGAGATAGAAACATCAGAGAATCCTTGATTAGTTGCTCTCTGCACCCCCCACCTGAGACCAAGCCCGCAACCCAGGTATGTGGGTGGCAATCTCGCCATGCCTATTAGACATCTTAGCTTACATTGCAAGTGGGCAGACAGACAGTCTGCACTGGAGGCATCGATGTGGGGGGAATTGAAAGCCGGGAGGCTGGATAACAATGGCTTGGGAGGGCTAGCAACTGAGCCAACCTATAGGAATCCATGGGAACCCATGGCGGGGAGCAGCAGACTGGGTGTCAGGGAAAGCACCAGGGAGAAGATAATGGTTAGACTGAGATCTTAAAAGACGGGTAGTTTGCCAGAGGAAATAAAGGGAGATAACCTGGGAAGACTGAACCCATGTTCAAAGGCCTAGCGGCAAGCATCGTGGGAGTCCTGTCTGGTTCATTGCTGTAACCCTGGGCCCAGCGCACAGTACACATTCAACCAATATTTGCTGAATAACTGGTGTGTGTTTAACAACTTCTAGGCAGCCTGCTAAAGCTGGAGGGGAAAAATGGTAGTGGGGGTAGGGGTAGGGACTGGTAATGAGAGATTATGCTCCACTAGGGAAGGTAAGAATAGGTCATCTCGCCCTGGCCGATGGCACAGTTGGTTGGAGCGTCGCCTTGTGCACCAAGGGTTTTGGGTTCGATCTCCCATCCGGGCACGTATGAGAGGCAACCGATCAATGTTTCTCTCTCACATTGATGTTTCTCTCTCCCTCTCATTCTTCCTCTCTTTCTCAAAATCAATAAACATATCCTCAATGAAGATTTTTTTTTAAACGTATTGATTTTTTGACAGAGAGGAAGGGAGAGGGATGGAGAGTTAGAGACATCAAAGAGAGAGAAGCATCGATCAGCTGCCTCTTGCACACCTCCTACTGGGGATGTGCCCACAACCAAGGTCCATGCCCTTGACCGGAATCGAACCTGGGACCTTTCAGTCCCTAGGCCGATGCTCTATCCACTGAGCCAAACCAGTTAGGGTCTCGATGAAGATTTTTTTTAAAAAAGGAAAAGGTAAATTTAAAAAAAAAGAAAAAGCATAGGTTTTCTCACCATCTGCCTGGAGCAGGAGATGGAAGTTTCGCTAGAAAATTTTCTGCCTGGGGAGGGACATGGTCAAAAAGGCTGCGGTGTAGGAAATGAGTTGAATGAGGCGAACGGGCAGTGGGAGGCAGGGGAGAGGGCCTGGAGTGGGGAGAGCAGTACTTCAGAGGTTGGGCACGAATCCGGTGAGAGATGACAGAAGCCTGAAACAAGGCGGGGAAAGAGCCTGGAGACAGTCAGCAGAAGGACTGACAGAACTTGATGTGAGGCTTAATCAAGATGGGCATCCTAGCACGTAGGCATCTGTGTTGAAATAGGAATTTGAATATGAAATATGAACCCCCTGCTGGGTAACATACAGTATGGTTCTCTGGCCTTTTTGTGCTTCCTAGACTTGGGGTTTTATTTATCTTTCGTTGTTCTTAATTTTTCCCATTTATTTGGTTCCCTCCCCACCCCCTTCCCAATTGATTGATAGATGGCGTGGAAGGAGGGAGAAGAGACACACACACACACACACACACACAGAGAGAGAGAGAGAGAGAGAGAGAGAGAGAGAGAGAGAGAGAGAGAGAGAGAGAGAGAGAGAGAGAGAGAGAGAAACATGGTTGCCTCCTGCATGCACCCTGACCAGGGCTGGGGATCCAGACTGCAACTGAGGTACATGTCCTTGACCGCAGTGGAAGCCAGGACCCTTCCTTCAGGCCACAGGCTGATGCTCTATCCACTGAGCCAAACTCAGGGTTTAAAACAGGCTGAAAGCAGAAAGCCAGAGCTCCTCCAGGCTTTCCCTAAAACTCTCATCCTCCCTGTCACTGGCCAGAGGGTGGGGAAGGAGAGAAAGCGCAGCCGGGGAAGGAGGCGAGGTCTCCAGTGCCCAGCAGAGCTGAGTGGCGGTGCCTGGAGGCGCCCAGGCATCAGGGACATGCATCTCAGGACGCAGCACCCGGTCCCGGTGTGGACGAGCTGGGGCTGAGGACCACGGATTTTCTGGGGTAGGTGTCAGTAATGCCTGACGTGAAGTGTGCCCATCAGATCCTGCGGAAACGGGGGCTCCAGTCCGAATTAAGTTTTGGTGAAAAAACAGCTAGCTGGCTCCTCGTTGCCCATGCAGACCCAATGCACAAGACTGACGCCTGGCGTGTGTGGGGCTTGGGGAGCGAGCAGCGCTCATCCCAGAGGCGGACGGAGCACGGGGATCGGGGAGGCGAGCAAGTTCCGTTTGGGGCTCGCGGGCCAGGAGGGGCCGGAGGGACATCCAGGCTGCGGTGCAGCCGCAGCGGGACACACGGACCGCCGGGAGCTCCGGTGGGAGGTCGGGCTGGAGCCTTCCACTGGAAGGCCATCGGCTTGCAGACGAGACTGAAAGTCACGGGAGCGGCCAGCTGGCGGGGTGCTGAGCGGGGCGGGGAGGATGCAGGGGGGAGATGCAGAGGCGGGAGGGCAATCCCTCCCCAGACTGGCCGCGTCCCCCTCCCCCGCCGCCCCGCCCGCAGGCCGGGCACTGGGCGCTTAGCAGGGGGTTGCCGGGCAGAAGAGACCCCAAAAGCATGCCCTTCCCCCCTGTTTCCAGGGCTAACACCTGACCCTGGGAAACCAGCGGCAGCGGATAACCGAGCGGCTGCAGCTGCGGCCTCCGGGCGGCGGCGGCCCCAGACTCCCGCCTCCCGGCCCCCCCCACCCCCGCCCCCGTTAGCCGGCTGGGAGGACAGCAAGCACCGGCTCTTACACCTCCCACGATCCCGCCCGGAGTCTCCTCCGGGGGCCCCCATCCTAGGCCTCCCCATGTGCGGGCGCCCTCCACCCGCCTCCGAATCAGACCCCCGCCCGCCTGGATCCACCCGGCCCCGCCCGGGACCAGTCCTCTCCCCCGGCTCCGCCGCCCGGTACCGTCTCCCGGCGAGATGGTCTCGATCTCCACGCCCATCGCGGTCCCACGGGTCCCGCCTCCGAGGGTCCCCGCTGGCTGTGCCCCGACCCCGGCTCGGTTCGGGCTCCCGATGCCGCGGGCGCTCCGCCTCGCCTCCCGCCGCCGCCGCCGCTGCAGAGCCGGAGGAGGTGCGGGAGCGGGACCTGCGCGGGGAGGGGCCGCGGGGAGGGGGCGGCGGGGCGGGGCGGCGGGGAAAGGTGGGGTCGCCCGGGCCGGGGCGGGGCCGGGAGGGGGGGGCCACCCTGACCCTTGGCTCCGGAGCCCAGCCAGGCTAAGGGCACGGACCCACCCGCAGCCGGGGAGGATGCTGAGGGAGGCGTGCAGGCTTTCCCCGCATATCCCCGCTCACCTGTACCTCCATCCATCTCTTCATCCATCCGTTCCACCCAGATGTCTCTCTTGGGAATCAATCGGCTGGCTGCCGCAGACTAGGGGAAGGGCGGCAACTAAACCAGGTCTAACTAGTTCGGGCTCACTGACATGGGGGTTCAGAACGTTGGGAAGCACCAGAGAGGTGCCTGCCCTCGCTGGGCTGCCTGGATCTGCACGAGCAAGCTGCAGTGGGGTGCGGTGGGGTGGGCTGAAAGGGAGGAAGGTTCATTGCCGGCCCTTCTCCACCCCTCTAAGTTCCTACTCACCATCCCAGGGAGCTCTGCCCCACGCACAGGTGGGTACCCACCTTCCAAGCCAAAGAGCTGCCTCCTGGGAGACCATCGCAATGAAGACCATCGTTGCTGTCCTTGAGAAACTAAAACTGGCATGGGTAGGGACACTTAGGGCGTGGAGCGATCCGCGCTGTGGGATGAATGAATGAGGTCGACCTTGGGTTCCTCCGCCGCCGCCCAAAAGAGGCCCAGGAATCGATGGAGATTTTTGGAAGCAATCATTTGCATTCATTGGCTCAAAGAACGAATGGGACTGCGAGTTTTTGTTTCTAACTCTTCGATGTGTTGTTTCCGCAATGATGTGAAGGTCTGATTCTAACCCGTGGTGCTGGCCTGGGAAGAGAAAGGTGTCCGGACTATCCCTAGAGATGTTCTTCCCCCTTTTTCCGGGTGGTTGCCTAGGAGACTCCAGGCGCTCAGCCTCATTGACAGAGGATTGGCTGTGTTGTTCAAGAACGATGATGGTCAGCTGAACTATGAGGGTCAGGATCTGAAATGCCCCCCTGGCTGCTCCCAGGTGTGGCCCAGGGTCTCCCAGGGGGGGTAACTCGGTCTAGAGAAGACTGGTTGACAAACTAGTCCATGAGCTATGGCCATGGGCAGACACTTTGGGGTACCTATAGAACAGGGGTGTGTAACGAACAGGTCAGTGAAGTGGCTTCAATGGAATGCACAATATTTTGTGTACAGATAAGAACATTAAAAAAAACAAAACAAAACAAACAAACAAAAAAACACCCACAACAGTTTTTAGGTGAAATTTTGTATGTTAAATAGATCCTCAACCCCTTCCCATCCCTGACTCCCCATCTCCCCTCAAAAACTTAAGAAACCGTATTGACTCTAGGGCTCCTGGACTCCTTCTTAGACTAAGAAAACCGATAAAAGTGGAGAAAGGAATTAAACCTCGAGAGAGAGAGAAATTGCGTGAGGCTTACAGTCGGGAGTATCACATGGACTACAACTCCCAGAGATCTGTGCGGCAAAGCCAGAGTTTATTGGTCCGTGGAAAAGACCCTTTTCTAACGTGACGCACATAACAACCAATAGGCTGGCAGCATTCCCGACCATCTCACTTATCAGAGACCTTGGAGGCGGTGCTTCCGGTACCCGCTGCGGACTTTGGAGCGGCATTGAGTGAGTCGGGGCGGCCCCAGGGAAACTGGTTTACTGCGGGGCAGTGAGTCCAAAGGTGTTTTGTCTCCACGGTTGCCCGGCCTGGCGGGTGTGGGGAGCCTGTGGGTAGGCGGGATGGATGGTGGAGGGGCCGGCCCTGGGGGAGGGGGTGAAAGACACTCGGGTGTGCGGACTGCGTGGGGAGGATGGTTAGTGGGTGCGGGGGAGCCGCGGGTGGGTTTAAAGGGGTGAATATTAATATATCTCCCCTGTGACTCATGAGTGATATTTCAGGGAATCTACCCCCTAAAGTAACCATCCAGAAGGAGAAAAGGCTCTATGCATAAAGATCTGTCTAAAGCGTTATTTATAATGGGCTAAAGTTGGCTACCAACGGGTGTCTCAGCGGTAAGCAAAGTGATGCAACTTCACTGAGTGAATATTAAGGGGCCTGTAAAAATAATTCATCCCCCCAAAATGCATACATCCTTTGAATAAAGACAGAATACATTTCATTTTCAAAGTGTAATAGAATCTACAACTCTCAGCTGTTAAAGTGTGTATACATTTTGGGGACACCCTGTATATATGATAATTTTTTAGCAATTAGTTTTCCAAACTGAACGCTTCCGTTTTTACTTTATTTTATTTTATTACTGGGGTTCAACAATACATTAAATATCTATTGATCTTTGGAAAAAAATAATTCACAAAACCCTTAAATAATATGGGGAGATGCTAATATACAATGTTAAGTGAAAAAACAAAAACAAAACCTAAACGCAATACAAAATTGCACGGTACGGCTGTAAAAGTTGAACCACACGGCATGGAAAAGTCTGGAGGTATGTAATCATAATTTTCTTTGGATGGATTTTTTTTTTATGTGTGTGTGAATATACCTTTGCTGTGTGTGAATTCTTAACCCCCGCCCAGCACAAGCGAAAGTTAGTTTAGAAAGTAACGGGTATAAAAAGGGAGCCAGCTAGGCCGCCTGGGCTCAGGAAACAAGTTACAGAGGCAAAAAGGAGAGGGCCCTTGGAGCTTAGGAGAGAGAAAGAGGCAAAGACAACGCACCTGGGGGTGGTGGGGGGAGTGTAGATGTTTTACAAGATACCAAATGTTTGGAGACCTGAAGGCCATTTCAACATTGGGCCTCTTGGCTTTTTGTGGGGAAACCCTCTCCCCTCCTGGTTGCTAGAGCACAGGGTATGTGAACTGAGCTCAACCTGTGGGAGGCCTCTCCCCGTTGTGAATTGTAAGCAATAGTCATCAGGTGAAGGGGCAGTGACGTTGATTCTCAGCTGACTAGAGAGAGGGGCAGCAGAAGTTCATTGTGCCTAGCAGTCTGTTCTCTGAGCCTGGTTCTTGAGCTTATTTTTAATTTAGTTTTATTATTATTTTTTGCTTAAGTTAACCAGAGTGGTTTCTGTTGTTAATACCCGGGAGCTCTGACTTATGTCCCATTTTTGTCCAAAAGAAAAAATTTAGTCCTGGACGGTGTGGCTCCTTTGGTTGGAGTGGTCTCGTGCACCAAAAGGTTGCACATATCTAGGTTGCGGGTACAGAAGGCAACCAATGGATGTTCCTCTCACATAAATGTTTCTCTCCCTCTCTCCTCTTCCTCTCTCCTCTCCTTGTTGCTTCCCCTCTCTAAAGGATTTTAAAAAGGTAGCACATATAAAATCATATATATGTATAAAGAAATATACATATACTAGAGGCCCAGTGCACAAATTTGTGCATGAATCCCTCTGGGTGGCCTGCAGGGATCGGGCAAAACCCACAGTCCCAACAGCCTGCAGCTCCTACCTGCGCTCCTGCTCATCCTGGCCCCACTGTGCCTGACACGGGCTTGCACCCAATCACCCAATCAGTCCCGATCTGAAAGGCTCCCGTTCTCTCGCCAGCCATGATCCCTGAGTTTGGCACCCTCCCAAGGGGAATAGCCTGCGCGATCAGGCTGAAACCTGCTCTCCGACATCCCCTGAGGGTCCTGGATTTCAAGAGGACACAGGCCAGGTTGAGGGACCCCACTGGTACATGATCGGTCTGGGGAGGGACTGTGGGAGGGCTACAGAGTGTGTCTGGCCCATCTTGCTCAGTCCTGATCAGCCAGACCCCAGCAGCAAGCTAACCTACCTGTCTGAGCATCTGCCCCCTGGTGGTCAGTGCATGTCATAGCGAGTGGTTGAGCAGCCCTAGCATATCATTAGCATACTACTCTTTGTTCAGTTGTTCTGCCGTTCGGTCTATTTGCATATTACCCTTTTATTATATAGGATTGCTTTAACAGATTCAAAGACTATCACATCAAATTTTTAACAGTGCTTTTTTTCAAGGACTTAATATTTGGAGGATGGGGTGGTGGTGGTGGTAAAGAGGAGTCGGAGGAGACATTTTGTTTTACTTTAGACACCTCTGGTGTGCTTGAATTTCATTGCAGTGAGCATGTACTTTAGTCATCCAAATGTCTGGGGGGGAATCCCTTAAGAATGAAAAGTTTGAAAGTAATACTTGCCTAGCCTAATCTACATTATTGTGAAGGATTGTTGCAAACAAATGCAATCCGGAATGTGAAAATATCCTGGAAATTAAGTGCTTTTTGAAAATTATGAAGTAGAAATAGCAATAGAGACTTTTGAGTGTCATTTCTGTATAAGGGAGTTGAAGAAATAAGTGCTAATAAAGTCAGAGTTGTGAATATCATTTATTGTGTTGGCAGTAAAAGGAGAATAGAAATTCGATGATAATGAAGACTTTTCTCAATTTTTTAATTTGAAACTTTTCTAGCTTAAAAGTTGAAAATCCCATGAATACTGACACAGTCTCCTCAATCTGAATTCAGCAATTATTAACATTTTGCTACCTTTGCTTTAGCGCACTCTCTCCATATATACACACACAAATTATGTTTTTTGATATATTTTGGGGGGGGTTGTTTGTTTTCTAAAGCATTTGAAAGAAAGTTGTAGACATTATGACACTTTCTCCCATATACTTCAACATACATTATCGTAACAATAAAGACATTTTTCTACATGACCACAATACAATGGTCACACTTAAGAAAATTACTAACTCTACAATATTATCTAATATCCATTCCATATTCTAATTTCTCCAGTTCTACAAATATATATATAGTTTTCAGAAAGGAAAGGAGGAGAGAGGAAGATAGAAACATCAAGGATTAGAGAGAATCATTGATTGGCTGCCTCCTGCATGCCCCCTACTGGGGATCATGCCCTCGACTGGAATTGGACCTGGGACCCTTCAGTCAGCAGGCCAATGCTCTAGACCACATGTGTCAAACACAAGGCCCGCGGGCCAAATCCGTCCCGCCAGGCCTTGCAATGTGGCCCGCACCGCGCTGTCATCACTGCACTCCGCTGCGTTTCCATCACAATGACAGTTTATGACTGTTCAGTAAACCATTCGGCCCGCGATTTAGGCTGGATTTTAGATTTTGGCCCCTTCTCTGATTGAGTTCGACACCCCTACTCTAGACACTGAGCCAAACCGGCCAGGGTTCCTCCTATCCTTTTATCCTCTCACAATACTGACTTGTGAAACTTCTAAGCCAGCTGTCTTGAAACATGTCCTGTATTCTGGGTTTCTCTGATTACAGTCTCAGGATGTAGCTTTCTTTTTAATTATTTCAGATAACCTTTATCAGAAAGGATGGAGTTGGGAAAAGGAAAACTCTTCAGGAGCGGGCTGAATGCCTTGTATCAAGCAATCCACCCAGTTCACGGCCTTACCTGGACCGATGGGAAGCAGGTCATCCTGACCGATGTACGGCTTCAGAGCGGAGAGGTCAAGTTCGGGGACTCGAAGGTCATTGGGCAGTTTGAGCACGTGCACGGGGTGTCGTGGGCCCCACCTGGCGCGGCTGACACGCCCCCTCTGCTCGCTGTCCAGCATAGGCTGCATGTCACCGTGTGGCAGCTGTGTCCCAGAACCGTGGAAACCAGCAAGCCGTCGATGTCTCGGGCCTGTGAGATCAGAGAATCACACGCCGTCCTTCCCCAAGGCTGCGTGTGGCACCCAGAGAGTGCGGTTCTCACCGTGCTGACCGCACAGCATGTCTCCGTCCATGACCTTCGCTGTCACAGTTCCCGAGAGAGAGTGGACAGCAGCGCCCAGGGCCTCATTCACTGTGCGTGCTGGGCCCGGGATGGCCGGAGGCTGGTGGTGGCGGTGGGCAGCAGCCTGCACTCTTACATCTGGGACGGTGCTCAGAAGGCTCTTCAGAGGTGCTCCTCCTGCCCTGTGTTTGACGTGCCCAGCGCCGTGCGCGCCATCGGGGCCACGGTGGGCTCCCAGGTCCTCATAGCCACTGAACTCCCAATAGGGAAGATTTGTAGCTTAAAAGCATCTGAAACAGTCGGCAGTCCACCTGGCAGTGAAGACACTTGTCTGTATACCTCGCCGGTTATTGGTGAGACGCCCTCTGTGGATAAAGGGACAAATTCCGACACAGCAGTTTCTCCCTTTTCTTCTCGCGGTTCAGATCCTCTGGATCTCACTCATATACGTTTCAATAGATCCGAGTCTGAGAGCAGTGCCCTTATTTGTCTGAGAAAAAAGGATTGCTTGGCAGGAACCGATCTGGATTCTTCACATTTGATTCTTGTGACCTTCGAGAAAGAGGTTACCCAGACCAAAAAAGTCACCATTCCGGGCATTCTGGTTCCCGATCTAATAGCATTTAATCCGGAAGCGAAGGTTGTGGCAGTGGCTTCCAATACTTGTAATATAATTTTTATCTATTCTGTCGTGCCATCGCTTATGCCAAACATCCAGCAAATTCAGTTAGAGAGTGGTGAGAGACCGAAAGGCTTATGTTTCTTGACAGATAAATTACTATTAATCTTGGTAGGAAAACAAAAATCCACTGATTCGACGTTTCTTCCTTCTTCAAAGTCCGATGAGTATATCATTCGCTTGGTTATTAGAGAAGTCAGGTTGAAAGAGGAGTTTCCAGTAACGGTGAGTGAAGACCAGAGTGGCTGCCCCGCTTCCAGCACTCTGTTAAATAAAGCAGGGAGGAAAAAGCTAATGGAAAGTCTTTCGCCAGATGTTTGTCACCTAAACAGAGGACTCGCCTTAACAGCTACTAGCAGTCGTCAAAGTGGAAAGCCTGGAATTACTCTTATTAAAGAACTCAAAAGTCCTCCGTCCACTGTCTGTGATGACCCCATCGCCCTGGAGACTCCAGATGCTGAGCCTGTTAATGGGTCAGCGACACTGCCCAAACCCAGCAGCACACCAGACTACACCGGCACCCCGGACCCTCTCAGTTTCCCTCCAGGAAAGAACTTACAACGGGAAAAGGAAACTCGCCAGCTCTCTAAGGGACTGGAAACATTATCTAGGAAAGTGATTGAAGTACAGCGCTGTCTCTCTGAACTCACAGACTTCCTGCAGAATGGAGAGAAGTCCTCTCCGGTGTATCCACTCTCTCAGGATCTGCCTTATGTCCACATCTCTTACCAGGTAATCTCTCCTTAAGGAGCCACCACTGTACATAAAAGCTCCTGCCGCCACTAGCCACTGCCAGAAAAATGGTCGCAAAAGATGGTATTTGAATTGAACTGGGCTGTTATATTTCAGGCAAGCTGTTACACCTTTACAGACCGGTTGCCTGCCAACCACATGGACACACATACTAGGATGCACTGATTTTTATCATGGGCATGGTGTGAAACAGGAATGATTGCACTTAGTCTGTCAATTTATATTTAGAAGAAGAAGAATTTTTTTAATTGTGCTATTTCATTGTGAAACTCTTCTTATGCATGCAGACACTCTTCCATTTATAAGAAAGGTTATATTTATGTTAAGAATGTTAATGCATCTATTTATGCATGCATAAAGGTTATATTTATGTTAAGAATGTTAATGCATCCATGTATGCATTACATAAATGGCGTCCTATCTCTTTATCATGGACACTTTCCTTTCTATGGAACTGACCTCTGCTTCTCCCCATTTAACTAGCAGCTTAATGTGGATCCTTCCATAGTGAAATTCATACTCACAATCTACACAGATCTTTGCCTAAGTAGATACATAGGTACCAGCGACATACAGGTTCGGGGGTGGTTTTTGTTTTATAGAAATAGGGTATATGCTGTACTCTCTACTTCATTCTGAGAGTATTCTATGGTGATTCAGTCGTTCCCTGTTGACGGACATTCACTTTGTTTTCAGTTGCATAGTGCTACAATAGTATTCCTGTTTGTATCCATTTGTTTTCCTACTTTTATTGGTATTGGGTTGGTTCCCAGAAGCAGGAATGCAACTTAAATATATGTTTCTACTTTTTTTTTTTTTTAATATATTTTATTGATTTTGTACAGAGAGGAAGGGAGAGAGACAGAGAGTTAGAAACATCGATGAGAGAGTCATCGATCAGCTGCCTCTTGCACACCCCCCACTGGGGATATGCCCGCAACCAAGGTACATGCCCTTGACCGGAATCGAACCCGGGACCCTTCAGTCCCCAAGCCGACGCTCTATCCATTGAGCCAAACCGGTCTCGGCTGTTTCTACTTTTAAAAAAATTTGCCCAATTGCCTTTTAAAGATTTTTACTTAACAGTGTCTCATTACATGCTCACCAGCAACCTTTTCCTTACATCCTCATGAATGTGAAATAGCATTTCACTTTTATCAATTTCTGTTTTCCTTTACTATTAGTGAATTTGAGTACATAGGCCTTTATGTTCTGGGGCAATAAATGAGTTACCGATTGCTTATTTTTTTCTTACTGAGTTAGCAGTATACAAGAAGTTTTTATGTAATGTCTAGATTCTCTTGCAATATTTTTTAAACTTTCTTTAAAGGCTAAGAGATTGTGGGTTTTTAAAAATATATATTTTATTTTTTTTACAGAGAGAAAGGGAGAGGGAGAGAAAGTTAGAAACATCAATGAGAGAGAAACATCAATCAGCTGCCTCCTGCACACCCCCTACTGGGGATGTGCCTGCAACCAAGGTACATGCCCTTGACTGGAATCGAACCTGGGACCCTTGAGTCCACAGGCCGATGCTCTATCCACTGAGCCAAACCGGTTAAGGCTTTATTTGTACTTTTTCTAAACGAAATAAATTTTGACCAGTTTATTTATTTGTGCAAATCCTTAGGGCAGTCTCTCTTGGCATTTTTCCCCCAATAAAGAGAGCGTTAAGTTTTTTAAATTTATACCTAAAATAGCCAGACACCTGTTCCTCACCATCAGATTGTGCCTCTTAGGCTGCTGTCCATGATCTATAGTGTTATTAGTCATATTCTAGGACAGCCAGTTTCTAGTGGTAAAGTTCTAGGAAAAGTTAATTAGGGGTTATATTTTGTTCTGACCCTTTAGTTGTGTTAAATAATAGAGCAAAAAGCTCCTTATATAAAACTGATGTCTAATTGATAGTGGTACTAGATAAGGATTTAAAAAAACTATTTACACTTTCTATTCTTAAGAATTGTTAACTCCATTGCTTCTGCAATTGGCTTAACAACTTTTTTTTTTTTTTGCATTTGAAGAAACATTCTGTAGAATCCGTTGAAAAAAGAGACGTGCTTCTCTGCAATGGCAAACTCAGGCTCAGTGCAGTGCAGCAGGCTTTCGGCCTCGCCCTTATTGAAATGCTGCATGGTAGGTAAAGTCCAGAAATTCACCCTTCCCAGTACCCCGCCTCCCACCATCTGTTTTGTTACTTTCACTGGTAATGGAATTGATGTGTGCTGGTCATTCCGTGATTCACTAGATAATTAACAACTATTATCAGTTGTCTGCTGTATACCCAGGCCTATTACACCAGACACATGGAAAGTATGTGTTCTGCCCGTAAGGACTTTATAGCCTAGCTGGAAAACCTAACTGTGCACATGAAAAACTAGAAGAAAGTTACAAAGCCATATACAGGGTGGGGTAAAAGTAGGTTTTCAGTTGGTCGTATTGAAAATAATGCAATAATTAATAAGTAATAATACAAGAATAAACTCTGTGTTGAGTAATCATAGCTATAAACCTACTGTTGCCCCACCCTGTATAACAACTGCAAGGAAATGACATAAAAAACCTCATAATACCTTTTGCACTAGAACATAAAGATCATAGCAACATTACAGAATATTTCTGAAAGGGGTTGTTTTATTTTTTATTTTTTAAAATATATTTTATTGATTTTTTACAGAGAGGAAGGGAGAGGGAGAGAGAGTTAGAAACATCGATGAGAGAGAAACATCGATCAGCTGCCTCCTGCACACCTCCTGTTGGGGATGTGCCCACAACCCAGGTACATGCCCTTGACTGGAATCGAACCTGAGACCTTTCAGTCCGCAGGCCGAGGCTCTATCCACTGAGCCAAACCAGTTAGGGCTGAAAGGGGTTGTTTCAATGTGCAGCAAACATATGGACATGAGGGACGCTTCTGGATGCAGAGGGACTGAATCATGCCCATGTTCCATCAGGCCGTGGTTTTCTTAGACACTTGTCTGGAATCGAACCTGGAAGCCTTCAGTCCTCAGGCTGATGCTCTATCCACTAAGCCAAACCAGCTAGGGCTATATATTTTTTCTTTTCTTTTTTTTTTTATTTAATATGTTTTTATTAATTTCAGAGAGGAAGGGAGACAGAGAGAGAGCAACATCAATGATAAGAGAGAATCATTGATAGGCTGCCTCCTGCACAGCCCCTACTGGGGATCAGATCAAGCCTGCAACCTGGGCATGTGCCCTGACCAGGAATTGAACTGTGACCTCCAGGCTTATAGGTCGACACTTAACCACTGAGTCACACTGGCTGGGCTGCCATATTTTCTTTGATATTTCAGTGGGTTCCAGTGGTGGCCCATTATAAATAACATTAATAAAAACCTCTCTATTTTACGTGTTGTTTTTGGGAAGTATAGATTTTTCAGAAGTGAAATTACAAGGTCAAAAGGTTACAACACCATAGTCTTGAAAGAGCCAGAAAAGGTCCAGGCATGCTGATGGCCCTCGGCTATCCTGGAACAAGCCATTCAGGATTTTCTGGGCCATTCTGGCCTAGCTCTGTCATTTTTGCCTCCTTTGTGTTCAGAGGTTGACATGGATCTAAAGAGTAAAGAAGGGCCCTGGCTGGTTTGGCTCAGTGGATGGAGCTTCAGCCTGTGGACTGGAGGGTCCCGGGTTCGATTCCGGTCAAGGGCACATGCCTGGGTTGCAGGCCTGACCCCCAGTAGGGGGTGTGCATAAAGCAGCCAATCAATGATTCTCTCTCATCAGTGATGTTTCTGTTTCTGTTTTTCTCTACCTCTCTGAAATCAATAATAAAAAAAAGAGTAAAGAAGGTTCCTCCATAAGAGTAGCTGTTGCCAACCTCACATATTTTCTGGAGAAACTAAGAGCATGTAGATAAGGTGGGGACACTCCACACACAGCCCCTATTGTGTGTGCAGGCAGAAGCCCATTTGCATACCACTGAATAATAAATGCCCAGCCTGAGTGAAAAATGTATGACCTTTAGCTCTGCGTAAGTCCTCACCTTCCTCTTCCTGCCATATTACCAGACCCCCCCCTCTCCCGTAACAGTCCTTCCGTCTCCCCATTCTCTGCAAAGTCTTGTGATGATCAGGTTTAAGATTATCAACTACTGAATTCGTCCCCTCAAAAAGTCGTATTCGTTGTTTTTCCTTGTAGAATAAGATGAAATGTCTTAAATTGCCCACGTGTGCATTTTACTTTGCAGAGTCCCGCTGGATCCTTCTCTCTGCTGATAGTGAAGGCTTCATCCCATTAACTTTTACAGCCGCACAGGAAATAGTCATAAGAGATGGCGGCTCCAGGCCAAATATCTTCGGAGACTCTTTGTCTCCGAGTCTGGATTCTGGTCCTTGTCCTGAAGTCTTTAGAGAACATACAGCCCGAAGTTCAGGTGCCGCCAGCTATTCGAACCACCTGGGCTGATGCAGAGTATTTGCTGCATTGCCTTTCAGATGAGACCACTGCAAACAACACCTGTTTTCCACTGTGGACTGCCCCGCTCGCTGTCAGAGGCGAAGCGCTTGCCTGGTTGGCTCGGCCACTCCTCCGTCTTCCCCGGGAACGAGGCTCCCACTCAGAGCGCGGTCTTTGTTAGATGTGAGATGGCTCAGAAAGCGCTTGCTTGTGTATTCATGAGGTGTGGTTTTGTCTGACATCGGAATTCCCAGAACAAGACAATGTAATGGTGCCCCATGGATTGTGTTTTATGGTTTCTCTGAGGCTTTCTGTCCCGGCCCAGAGCTGTGTTAAAGCTGTCTCGGAAGCCCTTAAAAGCTACCTCGACATGTGATGGATCTTTCTCGTGGCTTAAAGAGGAGGGTAAGGAGGGCATATCCTCCGGCATATTCTTCTTCGCCCAAACCAGCAGAAATCGACAGAGTTCAAAGGAAGATAAAAAGCCACTGACTGGCCCAAACCGGTTTGGCTCAGTGGTAGAGCATCGGTCTGCGGACTGAAGGGTCCCGGGTTTGATTCTGGTCAAGGGCATGTGCCTTGGTTGTGAGCACATCCCCGGTAGGGGGGGATGCGGGAGGCAACTGGTCGATGTTTCTCTCTCATCGACGTTTCTGGCTATCTCTCTCCCTTCCTCTCTGTAAAAAAAAATCAATAAAATATATTAAAAAAAAAAAAAAAAAAAAAAAAGCCACTGACTGCTACCTCCCTCCTCCACTCTGCTCCTGAGAACAGGATGGACCTCTTGGAATTTAAACCTAACTTTACTGCTTTTCTAGAAAGTTCGGGCTGGCTGAGGTCCAGGTTCTCCTAATGATTGGCCCTGGGCAAATTTCAAATGACATTTCAGTGCTCTGACCCTTCTAGGCTCCCCTTGGGTGTGCGCTGGTGTTACGGTACAATGCCAAGAACAGGCGAGGACGAAGGCGTGGTTTCGTGCTCTCGCCTCATCTGATTTTCTCCCTGAAACTTTTCCCCCCAGTTATGGGATTATAAACAATACCCTGTTTTTCTCCTCATAATCAACTCTTTTTAAGAAAAATGGTGTGTGTTTTTTGCCCTAGCCAGTGTGGCTCAGTGGATAGAGTGTTGGCCTGTGGACTGAAGGGTCCCAGGGTCGATCCCGGTCAAGGGCACATGCCCAGGTTGTAGGGCTAGATCCCCAGTGAAGGGTGTGCAGGAAGCAGCCAATCAATGATTCTCTCTCATCATTTATGTTACTATCTCCCTTCCTCTCTGAAATCAATAAAAATATGTTTAAAAAAATGTTTTTGATTTTAGAGACGAGAGGAGAGGGAGAGAGAAAAACATCAATGAGAGAAACATCAATATCAATTGGTCACCTTCTGCATGCCCCCTGTTGGGGATGTGTCCTGACTGGGAACTGAACCAGTGACATCTTAGTGTATGCGTCAACACCCAACCATTGAGCCACACCAGCCAGCCTCAACTCTTAAACTGTAACTTTAATTTTGGTATTTTTCTTTTCCTTTCAGTCAAGTTTTGGAGACTAGTGTAGAGTCTGTGAGAGAAAATATTTCAGAAAGTTGGAAATTTCACTGAATCTGGAATAGTCCTAAAAAGGGCTCATGGGCCAGCTTAGTATAGTGCAGCAGTCGGCAAACTGCGGCTTCTGAGCCACATGCAGCTCTTTGGCCTCTTGAGTGTGGCTCTTCCACAAAATACCACGTGTGGGCGCACACGTACAAGTGCGATTGAAACTTCGTGGCCCACGCGCAGAAGTCAGTTTTCGGCTCTCAAAAGAAATTTCAATCGTTGTACTGTTGATATTTGGCTCTGTTGACTAATGAGTTTGCTGACCACTGGTCTAGTGGAAAGAGCCCTGATCCCAACTCTAGATAAAGACAGCACTTCTTACTGCCTTCACACACGTTATGTGTATGTTGTCTGTCTGGCATAACCAATCGGTCTGTATGGCTGGCTAGTCATCACATCTGCAGACCCTTGTTTCAGCCCTAGAAGCTCCATTAGCACATAGTCATTTTTTCCCCATTGCCTTTAAAATTATCTGGAAAGAAATACTTTGCCCCCTTGGGGACTCCTATCTGTTATAGTTTATGAAGATGGAGCTGGGATAGGAAAGAAGCAAGGGCCCATTTTGTGGTTCAGACGCATTAGAGAGCGGGTGGGATAATGGAAGAGGAGGCCGCTGGTCTGCACTCAGCTGCCCGAGAGCAGTGGCCGAGGCCAGCCTGAGGCCTGGCTCCGTTTGCTGGGTGGGATGAAAGCACAAACTGTGTAGCCTAACAAGGGGGTTGGGGGACCCTGTAGTAAGGTCTGTCTCAGGGCGGTGCCTCATGTTGTATGTTATAGCCGGCATTCCACTGCTCAGTCTTGAATAAAATCACTCATGATTGATGCAGCTGTTGTGAATGTTTTGATGGTATTTTCTTTGTGATTATTGCTGCTATATAGAACTATTCTTAATTTTATGTGTGTGTATGTGGCCTGTCTGCTGGTGGACATGTCACCAGAAAGGAACCTGGCCCAGAGCAGGTCTGCCGTGGGCTGGCTGGTAGTGTGTGGGTTCTTGACTTTGTGCAGGAAAGATTTCACAGAAAGCATTCAAGTGATTTTGAGAGCAGATTTATTATAGTTGGGGACAGTGGAACAAAGAGCGTAGGATAGAAGGAGCAGTGGAAGAGAGCTGGGGCAGTGCTCTGCTTTGGCTCTCTGGAAACAGTATGGGAAAGAAGGGGGCCACACTGGGCTGTGTGGACTCACTGAGAAGTAAAAGCCACAGTGGCAGAAGCGAGCCGAGGTGGGGGTGTGTCAGTCTAAAGGGGGCCTTGGACACAGGTTCAGGGGTTTGGCCTGGGACAAGCTGCCGCTGCCTGCTGCTCCCCTGGTTGCAAGTCTCGTGGAGACTCTTAGAGTTCAGGAGACAAAACTAAGGATGCACACGTGAGAGGGAAGAAAGGCAAGCGTGTGCTCCAGAGAGAGACCGCGCTGGCTGGCTCAGGGGTTCTTAACCTGTTTTCTAAAGGGGATTTCGGCAGAGGTCTCAGGATCGCAGTGGGATATTCAGCTTTTCAGCTGTGTGCTTTAATATGCTGATTAATCAGTCGTTCTCTGGTCAGTATTACCTTCAGAGAATGTCACCAAAGAGGGACCTGGACAGCATGGGGTCTGCCCCTAAATGGTCTTTGTTCCTAAGTGTCCCTGGTTAGGGAAGAGAAGACCTCGTGATTTATTATCTTGCTAGGACCAGTTTGTTCAGTTCTCTGTCTCAGTTTCCCCATTACACTTGCCAAGGAGTTTTTCTAGCTGAGTCAGTTCAGAATATAAACCCTTTGCACTCCGCTGTCCCCTCTCAGGGGACATTGGAATTCTAGCATATGTCCCCTCTCAGGGGGGCCATTGCAGTTTATTAGTGATTACGGGGAACTGAGTTAATTCAACGCACGTGTCCGCCGCAAAGTAGCGTCGAGTAGCTGGTAGCCAATGTCCAGAATGGTTCGGAGTGCAAAGGGTAAATTCTTTAGTTCTTCACAACAAATCTGATTCCATGACAACTCATACAAAAGATGTTTCCTTTGCCTCTGCTATTATTATAGTCCTTGGAACAGAAGAAGATAATCCAGCATTCGCTGCTTTTGGAGACAGGGAGAGAAGAGCTAATTTCTTTAAATTATTGCTTAGCCCGAACACAGTGGCTCAGTGGTTGAGCATCAACCTACAAACCAGGAGGTCCCATCCGATTCCCAGTCAGGGCATATGCTCAGGTTGCAGGCTTGATCCCCAATCATGCAGGAGGTAGCCAATCGATGATTCTCTCCCATCATTGATGTTTCTATCTCTCCCTCTCTCTCTCCCACTCTAGAATCAATGAAAATATATTTTTAAAAAATAAACTATTGTTTAATGTTATATTGAGAATATTTTACATAAGGAAAGTCATTTACAAATCCCACTTTATGCCCAAATTTTTCTAAAAAGTGTATGGATATTTGATACATGCAATAGATATAAAATTTAGGAAGGCTTAATAATAAAATGAACCACCAACCACCTAATTTAAGAACTATATTACTTAGGTTTAAGACCATCACCTTAGGCAAGTGGCTTAAGCTCTGCTTCCTCATCTGAATGAGAGAACACTAGTTCCTGGTTCGTAGGGTGGCTGTGAGGGAGAAATGATAGGAAACCTTTTGGCCAGCCCACGATGGCCCTATCTCTGAGATCTAACCCCTGACCCCAGAGCTGGCCCCTGCTGCTGTATAGCTGCTCCTTGAGACTGCACCCTGGGAAATGTAGGTGATATAAAATGTGGCACATCATTAGTAGATGAGTGGATAAAAAAAGTTGAGGTATATTTATACTGTATGGAATACTATGCAGAAGTAAAAGAGAAGAATCTCTTCCCCTTTGAGACAGTATGGAGGGACCTGGAGAGTTTTATGCTAAGGAAATAAGTTAGAGAAAGACAAGTATCACATGATCTCATTCATATATGGAATGTAATTAACAAAATAAGCTGATGAACTGAATGGATCCAGAGACATAGAAGTATGGAACAGAGTACGGAATTCTGGAGGGAAGGCGGAGGAGGGAGCGTGGGGGTGGAGGTAGTCAACCATAGACCTTGTATGCATCTACGCATAACCCATGAACACAGGGGTGGTAAGTGGGCGGCGGCGGGAGCGGAGGGCACGGGATGGGCTGAAGCGGGTCAATGGGGGAGAATAAGGACATACGTAATACTTTCAACAATAAAGATTTTTAAAATTCCTTTGAAAATAAAATGTGGCACAAACTTCTGATCCTACCTGTAACGTCCAGGATTCTAAAGCATGCATAGCAGGTGGAGACCTCACCCTGTCTGTGCCCTAGCAGGTGCTGTCTCCATGTGGCCAGTGTGATCTTCCAACTTTCTGAAACGTGTGTGTGTGTTTGTGTGTATGCGTGCGTGTGCCTGCCTGTGTGTGGGTGTGTGCGCCTGCCTGTGTGTACCCGTGTACAGAGGGCGTGGGCAGGGCTGCTGTCGTTCCTTCCTGGGTCAGGGGCAATGCAGAGAAGCTGAGCCCAGCTCTTCTGGTGCCCTGTGACCTCAAGGATCAGACCCCCATGCCAGTGTCACAAGAGCCTGAGAGGTCGGTGTCAGGAAGACCGTGAGGTCAGCTCCTCATGCCAGCGTCCGTGGGGGAAGCCAGAGGCTCTCACCGAGCTCTGCCCGCACCTCTGCGCCCGGGTCCGAGCTCTGGCAGCCTAAAGGCGCTCTCACCTAAGAGGCCGCCAAAGGCCCGGAGAGGAATGGAAGGGAGCCTCGCCCTGGGCCGAGGGATGATGGAGGGCTGCCCACCACCACAATTGACTGACTCAACGGGAGATAAGCCCTTTAATGCGGTTTGTTGTGTTGAAAAAAACAACCCAAAACCTCAGTGGATCTTTTCCAAAGATATGGCTTCTAGAAAATGGTGGTTCCTGTACTTTTTGTAAAAGTCCAGAGAAGATATTCCCACAAAAAGAACTACTGTTCATAAAGATGACCGCTCTCTGGTGGCTCAGCTTGTCTGTGCCCGCCTCTGGCAGCAGTCATGAACCGGACAAAGGCCTGAGAAACACCCGGGCCCCCTCCGCCTTCTCACCCCACCGCTGTCCCCTCGCTCTCGCCGGGTCTGCTGGCCTCCCTGCATCTGTCTGTCCGTCCTCACTGAACATCCCCCGCTGACCATCTGTCCCCACCCTGTCCATTCATGGACGTCTGTCGGTCTCTCTCTCTCAGGTGTCTACTGGGGCGCCAGGAAGAACAAAGGGTCTGTCTGTGTGTCTGTCCTGTCGGGTCAGCTGGTGGTTGGGGAGTCTGCAGGCCGGGCTGGCCGAGGCTCCTTTTTTCCCAGGACAAATTGCTATTGGGACGCTTTCCAAGTCAAACGTCAGCTGGAGCCAGGTAGGCAGGGGCACAGGTTTATGTGAAATAGTCCGTGGCCGATAGGTAAGGAAAGACAGGTGGGACCCAGGCCAGTCCCTTCTGGAGAGGTCGCTGGAGACTCCGTGTTCCGGGGAAAAGGTCACGTGCATGCTGCGAAGTGGGGGTTCCGAACGCCTGAGAGGAGAGGGGGACTTTGAGCCCAGAGGCTGCGGGCTCCTGCTGCTCGGCTGACGAAGCTTTAACTTGCAGCGAGGCTGTAGCTGGTCCTCCTGCGGGAAGGGAAGAAGCCCAAGAGGGTGAGAGAAGGTGGGGTCTCTGCCCTGCCAGCCCCCGTGAGGTCTCTGCCCTGCCAATCATCAGTGGCTGGTCCTTGTCTTCCCAGCAACTCCTCCCCTTCACCCCCCCCCCCCGCCCCTGTGTAAATAAAGCCACTGGCCTGTTCCCCCAAGGGCCACCAAGCAGCTGTGTGTCACTCCCTGAGTGTGACACGCGAGACCAGGGTGACTTGGCAGGAGTCTTGAGACCAGCCATGCTGAGGGATGAGGGATGGATGGGTGATGATGCCACTTCCTGTCTCCCCTGTGTGGTCCTCTGTGTGTGCATGTGCTCGTATTTGTGAGTGCATGAGCACCTGCAAAGATGTGGACACGTGCCCATGAAAGTCTGGGACCATGTTGATACCGCAGCATCTGCTTGGCTTCGGGCATTGAGCTGAGCCCTTAGGACAGCTGTCGGCAAACTCATTAGTCAACAGAGCCAAATATCAACAGGACGACGATTGACATCGGCACACTTCTGTGTGCCCCTGTGGGTGCTGGCAGCTCTGCCGCGTGTGTGTGTGTGTGTGTGTGTGTGCAGGGGGTGCCCACCTCCGAAGGCTCAGCTGGCGAGCGGCGTCCTGGCTTGGCACCTTTGGGCCGGGGCCGACCATGAGGATGCAAAGCCCGGTGAGGATCATGCAGGTGGGCACGGCCCCGATGAGGACCTTGAGGGTCACCACCACCTGCTCTGCCTGCTGGCAGGCTCCCGCCTTGTACCCGGCAAACCTGGAGAAACACGGTCCCAGCGTCCGGCTCAGGCCCTCCTGAGCCTGGCGCCCTTGCGGGGGGGGGGGGGGGTGTCCCAGACCCCCCACCTCCACCCTCTCCTCAAACTCGGATTCACTTCCTGGCCAGACCAGCCCAGCCAGGGTGGAAGAGGGTGTCGAAGGAATGGGCTTGGCAGGGAGGAGTTCGGAGAGAACTGAGGATGTGGGGGGCTGGGGCTTCAGAGGGGACGGCCCCCCCGGAAAGGCCCCTTTCAGTCTTATTCCCGGAACCAGCTGAGGCAGGCGTCTCCCCACACGCTCCAAGGAGCAGAGCGTGCTCCCCGGGCTGCTAGGGGGGAGAAGGGGGACTCTGCCCTCTTCCCTCCACACAGCCCAGCTCCGGACGGACTCACTCAAGGCTGAGCGTGGAGATGCCCAGGGCGCCCGCGCCCGAGAGCTTGGTGAAGAAGACGTAGGAAGAGTAGAAGATGGTCTCTATGCCGGGCCCGTGCTGGTGCTGCAGCTGGAAGTCATCCACCACGTCTGGGAGCATGGACCTGGGGAGGGGGCTGCAGAGTTATCCCCCTGCCCCTCCCCCCCCCCCCCCAGCCACCAGCCTGGAAGAGACCAAGTCAGAGTCACCCCCGAGTCCTCCCTCCCACATCTCTGCACCCCCACCCTGGCTGCCCACCATGCCAGCTGCGGGTGCTCCTTGAGGAGGGCTCCCAGGGCGGAGCTGCTGGCCGCCCTCCCTGCACATGGGCGAGTGGCTCCCCGCACAGGCTGGGCACAAGGGGCCCGGGGCACCAGGTTGACGGGAAGGAGGGCAGGCCCATCAGGAAGGACGTGGAGCTCCCACACCCCCTTCCCCTCACGCAGCCTACCAGGGCAGCAGCAAGGACACAGCGATGCTCACGCCAGACACAAAGGCCACGACGTAGGCCACGGGGGCCATGGGCACAGCCGCCAACAGGATGACAAAAGGCACCATCACCTGGGGAGACAGATATACAAGTTGTCCCCTCTGCCTGGCCCACCTGCTCTTCCCAGCATGCACTCACCCTCCGTAAAAGGGCCAGGCCGGAGCACTGAAGACACAGCGATTATAGGAGGCTCACGCTCCAAGGTCAACCTCGCCCAACCCAACCCTGAGCCTGGCTTCCCGCCTCACTCACAATGATCCCAAAGGCCGACACCTTCTTCCCGAAGCGCTGCAGGAACCACTCCCACAGGGGCGTGCTCAGGACAGCCGAGACCTGTGGACAGACAGAACCGTCACAGCCTGGCCACAGCCTGGCCACAGCTTGGCCCTCTGCCCGGCCCCTTGCCCGGCCGGCCACGCTGCCGGGGCCTCTGCCCAGGTTCCCAGCGCCCTGGCTTTCAGGCAGGATGCCCAGCCTTGACTTTGCCTCCTGGTGGAAACCCGCGGCTGTGAACGTGATGACCCTGGCCCCCCATTCCTCTGCTGGAGGGTTAGGAGGTCCAGAAAGTTGACCTCCGGGACTCTGGCCGCACATGTCGTGCCAAGAACCACACGTGTCACCCAGGTCTCCTCACCAGAATGGTCAGCACCAGGCTTTGCACATGGTCATGGAGCTCGGAGGCGTGGGTACAGAACAGGACCAGGTAGCTCTGCTCCACCTAGGAGGGCGACAGGGGCGGGGGACGCGGGGAATGGCGGCTCCTCAGAAGGCAAGAGCAAGGCCTCCGTCTCAATCCTGGCCGCCCTTGTGGGAACCCTGGTTGCTCCCACCACCGTGCAGTCCCCGCCCCTACAAAGGATGCTTATCGCCGACTCAGGCATAGACCCTATTCCCGGTCTACCGCCCCTCGCACAGCTCAGACTGGGTGCACGTTACCACCCAGGCAGTTTTCCTGGAGTCTGGGCCCTGACCCTCCTCATCCCCAGGGGCTCTCTAGATCTCTCTCCTCCCAGCACCACCCTCTCTGGGCCACACGCCAGCCACTGCTCTCTCCCTATCAACGCTCAGGCCTAACTGGGGTGCAATGGGATGAGAGCCTGGATCTGAACCCACGCAAGCTCAGTGCGGCCGGAGCCAGGCCAGCGGGCATCCGCCCAGCCAGCCGTACCTGGACGGCTGCTGAGATGAACAGGAAGCAGATCACCAGCTTGAGGTAGGGCGGGTGCCGCACCGTGAGGCCCAGCCCGGCCAGGAAGCTCATGCCCCGGCTGGAGGCGGGGGCAGAGGGGTCTGCAACACAGAAGGTGACATCTCCACTTGGGAGCGTTCCCAACCAAAACCCACGCCCGAGAGAAGCCCTGCCCCTGGAGGCCGCCTGCACCCCGTACCTGGCCGCTCCTTCACCCCCAAGCAGAGGAAACCACCGCACACGGGGTAGGTCACAGCAACCACGGCCGCTGCAATGGAGTAGAGACAGGTCTGTGGAACAGGACAGAGCTGGGGTGGGGTGATGTCTCCCACCCGTGGAGGTGAGGGCACCCAGGGGCAGGGTACCTCCCGATGGGAGCAGAGGGACCCTCAGCCCAAGGCCAAGGACCCTGGGTACTCCTCCCAGTGAGCCCAGTAGGAGGGGAGAGCTAAGGGCCAGCATGGGCCTTCTGCTGACCCTGTGCCTCCTGCATGCACCCATGCACCAGGGAGCCGCGGATCTGAGTCCTCCCTCTCTCCCACACACACACCTTCCTCTCTCTCTCTCTCTCTCTCTCTCTCTCTCTCTCTCTCTCACACACACACACACACACACACACACACACACATTTTAAAACAACATTCCTTGGTGCTGATTCTGTATGCCAGACCCTGAGCATCCACTGTGAGTAGCTTGGAAGACGGACCCATGAGCACAGGTTACAGTGTGATGCAGGCTGACCCAGATAAATGACAGAAAAGAGACCGTGATACCTATCATCAGGCAAAATCACACATATGTTAAAACATAAAACACATACAAAGACATACATGGGAATAAGTCACCCAGTTCCAGACAGAGGCTGCCTAGCAGTGTGTGTGTGTGTGTGTGTAAGGGGTGGGGGGCAGGGCTCAGGGCACAGGTCCAGCCCAGCTGCACAGTGGTCGCTGTCTGGGTGTATTTTGTCTATTAATTAACTTGTGGTGTGTGCGCGGAGTCGATGGGATAGCAGAGCTGGAGCCGCCAAGAAGCGCCTGAACACTTTGTGCTTTGGGGGAGGGCTCCCAGCCCTCTGCTCCCCACCCCCCTCACCCGGAGGAGGGGACGGGCAGGGGCTGGAGAGGCACGGTCAGTGGCAGTGGATGCAGAAGGTTTTGTCTCAGAACATGGCAGGATTTGGCAATGGGTTGGACTGAGGGAGAGGGAGGAGTCAAAGCTGACTCCCACAGTTCTGGGGGGTCGTGATGTCATTTGCTTAACGGGGACAATGGACCAACTGGTGGCTGGAGTAGACACAGCCCTTCCATGTCCCCTCTCGGACCCTTCCCTGGGGCCTGGCTCCCCCTCCGGAGGCGCTGAGGGTGCCCAGGGTGAGGGCGCGGGCACTCACCGCGTTGGGGGAGACGGCTCCGGGCCCCGGGGACTCGGCGTCCTCGCACCGGTGGGGGCCGTGGGCCCCGGCCACGATGAGCCCGTGGGCGGCAGCTCCCAGCAGCGTCCCCGCCATCTCCAGGGTCATCCCTGGGGCACAGCGCGTGCTCAGGGTCCGCGTTCGCGCCCCCGCGGGCGGCCCCCTCCGTCCCCCCGGCGCCCGCACTCACGGTAGGCGGTGGCCGAGTCCCGCTCCCGGGGGCTGGGTGTCAGCAGCATGGTGAGCGCCGTGTAGGGCACCTGGAAGAACTGGGGGCCGGGGGCTCAGACGACGCCCCCTCCGCCCAGACCGCCCAGGGGACGCCCTGTGCCAGCCGGGCCGGGAGGCTGGCACGTCGGTCGCCACAGGTCCCTGCAGGCAGGGTCCAGGGCCGAGGGCAGCACCCAGCCCAGAGCCCAGGGGGTCAGGGGGTCAGGGGGAGCTGGAGGAGATGGCCAGGTGCGAGGAGCAAGGGATCACCTGACCCCCCCACCCCCACCCCAGACACACTGGTGTCACCATGCCTACTGGCCAGCAGTGGGGTTCCAGGGGCCCGGGCCCAGGCCGGCGGGCCTGCTTACCGTGGACACAGCCTGGAACAGGCAGTAGAAGGCCATGTACCAAAGGCCCCGGAGGTTGGTGAAGGGGGGCAGGTACCACAGGAAGAAGTAAGCCAAGGCGATGAAGGGCATGCAGCCCAGCACCCTGTGGGGGCACACGGGGGGAGGGGGGTGGATCGCCCACAAACCAGGCCTGGGGCCTCAAAGGGCGGGCCTGGTGCAACCTCGCCCCTCTGGACCTGAGCCCTGGGCTGGGGCTCTCAGGGCGGGAGCCGTGGAGGGCCGGGGTTGAAGGGACATGAGATACCAGGATGTGGGCTGAGACTCTGGCTAGGACGTGGGTGCCTGGTGGTGCCATTCCTCCAGTCAAGGTCCCTGGAGCAGTAGTCGGCAAACTGCTGCTCATGAGCCACATGCGGCTCTTTGGCCCCTTGCGTGTGGCTCTTCCACAAAATACCACGGCCTGGGCGAGTCTATGTTGAAGACGTGGCGTTAGAAGTTTAAGTTTTTTTTAAAAAAATTGGCTCTCCAAAGAAATGTCAATCGTTGTGCTATTGATATTTGGCTCTGTGGACTGAGTTTGCCGACCACTGGCCTGGAGCACAAGAGTCGGACCTACTCTGCAAGGCCTTCCTGGGCCCACAGCCCGCTCTGGTCTCACAGAGACCTCTGGGCCAGGCCTGGGAGTCTTGGAGACGTTGTCTGCCTGAGCCATCTGGTGAGGGAAAGTCCCCCAGAATGTCTCTGACTCCTGCGTGATGGTCTGGCCCAGACCGGTACTGTCACCTACTGTCTAGTCCTATCACCGGATGTCCGGTCTTGTCCTCTAATCACCCACAGGGTTTTCTGCTAAGAAGCAGGGCTATGACAACCACATATACATTTGCAATTTATAATCTTATATATATGCAACCATATCAGTGTCATTTAAAAAACCATCAATACCACCTGCTGGCAATACCACCTTACAGACCACGCATGGGGCTGCTCACCAGGGCATGAGTCGTCCAGACCCTGTCCTCCTGCTTCTGCTGATAAGGTATCCAGCCACGGGGTCAGCAGCTGCCCCAGACACCTTCCCTCCGAGCAGGACCAGTGACACCTGGGCAGCAGGGATCTGCAGTGACAGGGGAGGAGACAGCCAAGCCCTGGCAGAGTCAGAGAAGGTGTCCAGGCCTGCCCACCCACCGGAGGGGGGTATCTGGGAGCCTGGCTGGGGCCAGAGGCTGAGTGTAAAGGTCCATTCTGCCTGCTCCCCAGAACACTAATCCAGAAGGCTCTCAGGACACATCTGTGCACGTGTAGGAAGGAGCATGGGAGGGAGCTGACAGCCACCTACTGGCACATTGCCCTTGTCACTCACGCCCACTCACTTCCGGAGAAGCATGAGAGACCCTCGCTGTCTCATAATAATATTTTTAAAATGTTTCTGATTACATAAATTATACACTCACACTATTAAAACATTTAAACAGCACAGAAAAATATTGAGCAGAGCTCATCTGAAATCCCACCATCCTGAGACAATGCCAGAAGCATTTTCATGGTCATCCTTTCATGCATTTATATACATTTGCAATTTGTAATCTTAAATACATGCAACCATATCAGTGTCATTTAAAAAAACATCTATACCACCCACTGGCATGCTCAGTGGTTGAGTGTCGACCTATGAACCAGGAGGTCACAGTTCCTGTCAAGGCACATGTCCAGTTTGAGGCGGCTGACCAACCATTCTCTTTCATCATTGATGTTTCCATCTTTCTCAACTCCCTTCCTCTCTGAAATCAATTTAAAAATATTTTTTAAAATGGATATTTTTTGTTAGCTCTCTATTCTCCACCATTCCCTCCTATAGCCAACACTAACAGCCTGGTGTCATTTTCTCCATGCTTAGTTTTAACTATTGTAGAGGCCTGATCCACCAAATTTGTGCAAGGGGCGTGGCCCTTGAAGCCCGGCTTCATCCGGAAGGTTGTTCGGCTGTCCAGTCTAATTAGCACATTATCCTGTTATTAGTATATTAGATTATAGTATAGCACATTATCCTGTTATTAGATTATTATAGATCATGTACTGACACATACACACATATACTCATGAACGTACATATATGGGGCATGTCTTCGTTTTGCTAAAATAGGATCATTTTGTACACTCTAAAAACTAACTTTCTCACTTGCTAGTGCATCATGGAAATTCCTCCATGCCAACTGGTATTGATCTAACCCATTCTTTAAATGGCCACACGATAATCCATCAAGTGGAGATAGTACACGTTATTACTCAACTGCTTCTATACCATTGGGCATTCACATTGTTTCTCATTTTCCAGTACAAACAACCCACAACAAATATCCTTGGCTTTTTGTCAGGCTTAGGTCAAAAGTGCTGTCTGTCATGGACCAGGTGGGGGTGGAAGGAAGATGGAATAGGGGACCGTGGGCTGCTGCCCACACTCACCTGGGCCACATCGAGCAGGAAGAGCTGCAGGTAAAAGGCTGTGGCGCTGGAGGCCACCTGGTTGGGGACCCCGCCAATGCCATAGCAAACCTTCGTACAGAATGACAGGCGACTGGCTCTTCTGTCCTGGGGAGACACAGGAGCTGAGCCCCAGCTTCACAGACACACAACAGCTCCCCACGCCCCCGTGGCTTCCATGAGCATCCTGAGGTCCCTATGTCTTGAGGGCTTTCCCTGTAACCTCTCCGTACTAACATACCCCAAAACCATCCTAAAGGGAAGTGAGACAGAAAAAGAAAAACAAAAACATGACCTCTCAACTTTCCCAGAGGGAAGTTCTTCCTTGTATTTCCCCCTTAGTGCTTCTTGCTTGTGTTTTATTTTCTGAATCAGCAAGCCTGAGAGACCCCCAACTTCCCTACCCTCTCCCTGGGTGACCTTGAATAAACCAATGTCCCTCTCTAAGCCTTATCTGTCAAATGGAAAAGTCCTGCCAACTCCACAGGTTATTTCAATAAGCAAATGTGGTGATGCCTCTGGGAGCTGAGTGTTGGATGCTGGGGACTCCTGCAGCCAGTTGTTGAATGACTAGTGGCCTGAACTCATTCATGGTGAGGGTATTCACACCACGGAAACCAGCAAACATGACCAATCAGAGCTTTTTCCCTGGAGAGACTGTTTACCAATCCACCACTGAAATGAAGTAATGTTTAAAAAGCCCAATGTGTGAGTGTGTATAAAGTTTGCAAGCCCTAAGCTACCCAGCAGACTCAACACTCATATATTCGACTGCTACTTACAGCCCTGTGTGGTTGCCTAGTAGGCATCCCAGCTTTGTATGGTCAAACACACCGTTTCTGGTTTCCAGCCCATTGTTTCTACCAACTCCTAACCTAACCCTGTTGTCCCCATTGCATTAAATGACCCCCATGTCCATTCAGCAGCTTAGGCCACAGACCCAGGAGCCACCCTCGATCCCCCCTTCCCAATTCCCCCCCCCCCACCCCGTCTAACCCATCACTGAGTGCCTCCTACGTGGCTCCCTGCTTCTGCTCTCAGTCCTAGTCCTCAGAAATGACTCTGCCTGCTGCTGCCTCAGGGCCTTTGCACTTCCACTCGAGTCTAAGCCTAAGTCATCTCCTCAGAGAGGCCTTCCTGGGCCACCCAAGTCTGTTTTCCAGTTGCACTTGGAAGGTCTCTGGGAGCATGACCTATTTTGTCACCACCCTGGCCCCAGGACCTAAAACAATGCTTGGCATGTGGCAGATGCTCGGTTTAGTCTAGTATTTGTCAAAGGAATAAATGCATCAAGTGCCATTTCTCTGAAAGACGCCATTTCACTACCATTTCTCTGGAAGGTTCTGGGAATTCTTCTTCCTCGTCCTTTGCTTGGGGATGGGCGGGGGAGCGGAGGAGACGATGGCTTCACCCGCCTTGGTATCTTGCAGGACACCCAGATGGGCCCTTTGCAAGGGAAGGCCTTCCCCGATAAGAACTTATCATATCCTTTGCACACGCTTTCTGCCCACAGAGAAACCCATGCACCAAGCAGGATGTGGTCTCCTTTTCTGACATGGTGTGACCATGAGTTCAACTTCCAGAAAACTTCAACAGGCAGAATCCTCTCCATAATGGGAATTTTGTTTCCCCCTACCTGTGCCTGGCGAGTTCCTGGCACGTGGCACTTGAAAGGGAGGAAAAAAATTCCGGCTGAAACGAGGTATAGGATATGATTTTGGAATCTTACAATTTAAGCCCTTAAATCATAAACCCTTCACAGTTGGCTGAGCACATATTTTAGCTTGGATTCCAGTTCCGCGCCTGCCACTTCCAGCCGTGGGACCAGGGCACCGTACCTTGCCGGGCTGTCTCGGTTCCTCACATGTTACCTGGAGGTAGAGCCGCCTCCCAGGACTGTCCTGAGAACGAAATGCTGCCACTGCATTGGCAGCTTGAGGGTTCCCTCTCGCCCGCCATTCATCTCACCCCGGATTTCTCCATCTCACCGGGAAGTGAGGGTCCTCAGAGAGCCTCCTCCTGGAGCTTTCTTTCCGGGAAGCCCCAGGCCTTCGCTCTGAGGTGCCCGGGAGGCGGGCATGGAGCTGAGCTGGTGGCGAGGTGAAGCCACGGGTGGGGAAAAGCTTCCTTGGGAGCCGCAGCGGGTTTTGCATTCAGCAGACACCAATTCCAACACACCCACCCTGGCGGCATGAATCCCTGCCAGTCCTCCCTGGGTCGCCACCTGCCCTCTACCCTCACTATGGGGCCTGGTGGCCAGACAGGGCATCGCTGGGGGCCATGGTGCCAGGGCAAGGCGGCTGAGCCCACGCCGCCTGCCAGGAGCGGGGGAGGCAGGCTGCCTCCGGGGCCCAGGGTCCGGGAGCTGTCGGGGGAGACCCGGAGAGGAGCAGGGGGACCAGAGCCTAACCTGCCTGGTCCTGCCCCGGGGGCTGAGCTTGTCTCAGGCTCAGTGCTATGCTCTCCGGGGCTCCCGCGGCCAGGGCCCCCCCCCCCCCCCCCCCCGGGCCGCTCAGCGGGGGGCCCTGCATGGCGGCCCGGGCTGGGTCAAGGGCTGCGATCCCGCGCCCCCAAGATCCCGGGCGCCCCCTGCCCCGCGCCCCCTCTCCCCGCAGCTCCCCGCCGGCTCCCCCTCGCTTTGCGCTCACCGAGCGGGGCTGCGGGGCGCGGGGCTCCAGGGCGCGGGGCTGCGGGGTGCGAGCCTCGGGCTGGGGCGCGGGCGCCTGGGCTGCGGGGCGCGGGGACCCTCCGGGGGCCGCCTCCATCGCGCAGGTGCTGCGCCCACGCCGGGGCCTCGGGTGTTATCGCCCCGGAGGGGAGGGCGGCTCCGGGCGTGGGCGCGGCGAGGGGCGGCCCCTGACCCGAGAGAGAAACCGGGGAGCTGGGAGGTTTCCCTCCCCCACCCCCCTGCTGCCACAAGGGAAAGCGCCTAGAGGTCAAGTTCGCTGGGGAAAAGGCCGGGCCCCTTGGCGGGGTGAGGACCAGAGGCGGTCCCGCTAAACACCCTCTCTGTCCTCCTGGGCGAAAAGCCAGCACGTGGTTCATTTGTTTAGAGCAGCGTTTCCCAAACTTCTCTCATGGTGAGAATCACCTGGTGGAGTTGTTAAAATACAGATTCCCAAAAATTCTAGTTTAGCACTTCTTAGTTGGGATTCAGGAATCTGTAGTTTAACAATTCCACCAGGTGATTCTCATCTTGAGAGAAGTTTGGGAAACACTCTTTTAGAGTAAGAGTATGGCCAGACAGGTTTACAAGCTGCTAAATGTGACACCGGGTGCCAGCATATACATTTTCCAGTCTCCTAGAGAACATGGGTCTGACACACACACACACACACACACACACACACACACACACACAACGCCTCCCAAACTCAGTTCTGGCCGGAGAATGAAAGCAGACCGCACCTGGGCATTGAACCTGCAACCTAGGCTTGCGCCCTGACCAGGAATTGAACCCACAACCTTTTGACTTACGGGAGCATGCTCCAACCAACTGACCCACCCCGCCAGGGCCACAGTGGGTTTTCAGACAGGACACCACAACCACAGATCGCTCCATGTGGATAGGAAAAGCCTTCGGTTGCAAGCCGCCAACCAACAAGTAAGTGGAAAGACAACCTACAGAATAGGAAATGTGCAAATTATAAGGGCTTGTGCTGGAATATATAAGAAGCACTTACAACTCAATAACAACAAGACAAATAACAATTTAGAAACAGACAAAGGATTTCAATAGGTATTTCTCCAAAGACAAACATGGAAAGATGTTAATGTCATTAGGGAAATACAAAACTTCCAGTGACTACTCCACGTGGGTGCTTAAAAAGACAGACAATAAAATGTGTCGGGGAGCGGGTGGAGAAACTATACATTGCTGCTGGTGGGCATGTAAAGGAAAACTGGCATTTCTTCAAAAAAGTTAAATGTGGGCCGAAACCGATTTGGCTCAATGGATAGAGCGTCTGCCCGCGGACTGAAAGGTCCCAGGTTCGATTCCGCTCAAGGGCATGTGTACCTTGGTTGCGGGCACCTTCCCATTAGGGGGTGTGCAAGAGGCAGCTGATTGATGATTCTCTCTCATCGATGTTTCTAACTCTCTATCCCTCTCTCTTCCTCTCTGTAAAATATCAATAAAATATAATTTTAAAAAAAGTTGAACGTGGGCAGATGAGTGGATTAAAAAACTGGGACATCTACACAATGGAATCCTACACTGCAGTAAAAAAGGAACTCCTACCATTTGCAACAGCATGGATGGCGTGGGAGAGCATTGTGCTGAGCAAAATAAGCCAGTCAGAGAAAGAGAAATATCACATGACCTCACTCATTTGTGGAATCTAATGAACAACATAAACTGATGAACAAAAACAGATCCAGAGACAGAGAAGCACCGATCAGACCATCAAACCTCAGAGGGAAGGTAGGGGAGGGTGGGGGTAAAGGGGAGAGATCAACCAAAGGACTGGTGTGCATGCATATACCAAATCCCAGGGGTTTCCCCACTTTGCTTTCTGCCGCCTCTCTAGTCTATCACCAATGGATTCCATGTAATCCACCTCCATCCCTTCCTTTGATGGCAATGTATAAATACAGACGTAACCCGCCATTCTCCCGAGCATTATCTCAATTCGCTGAGGTTTTGCTTCCTGGCATATGTCGACAGTTTGGCTCAAATAAACTCACAAAAATTCTTTACAGGTTCGAATGTTTTTATGGTAACACAGGCGACTTAAAGATCATTTAAGAATATCTGCATCTTATAATTTTCTGTAATTTATATGAATTACTTGTGCAAAAATACATTTAAAGCAAACAACAAAGAGTCAACTATCCGTGTACTGTGTAACTGTTTTTAATTAAATGGTTTGTAAAAGTTAGAGAAACAACCAACAAGTAAACACTATCGAGGAGTCTTCATGCTAGTTCAACTCAGGTCACAAGGATGGTTTAAAAAACACACACAAACACTGAGTTAGCATAAAAAATATCACACTTTAACATTTCTGAGTATTAAGTGAAAATAACATTGGTTAAAAGTACCTGACAAACAGAAGGCAAATAATAAGTATTTGTAGATTCTCAAACTGAATGAATTTGCCAAACAAAAATGACAAATGCACCTATATGTCACCACTTTATAACAAACAAGTATGAGCTATTTCACAGGTCTTTTTAACAAATAGTATTCCACCCTTAAGACAACAGCTTTTTAGCCTTTAGCAAAAGATTGCTTTCAAAGTACTTTAAGGCACTAAAATAGATGCATACATACCATATTTTCAACACAATGAAACATAATAAAAAGCATTCTGAAGAAGTATATAAGATCACCTTTATAACCTAGAAAATGCATAGTTAATTTAACCAATAAATCAGAATCTGCAAAATTAGAAATGTATTTCTATTGACTAACTCTAACAATGATTTTCATGAAACTGACAATAGTTTTGAAATGACCTTAGGTCCTGTTATATTCCTCACCTAATATGCTTCATCGCCAGGTTGCCTTCCCTTGACAAATTCAGCTTATGTTTTCTAAAATCAACATGTTTTGAATATTCTACACATTTAATGAACAACTTTAGGATGTGAAACTTTCAGGTAAAAAAGCTTTAACAGATGATTCTTGTCTTAAAAAAACTCTGAGAATATTTTCCACGTCAGTGAACGTTTTTCCCAAGTTACAAAAATGAAGGTTACTGCTGGTGATGGGTCTTTCCCGGCAGAAACTTCCCACTGGGGTGAATTCTACATGGACACACAAGGAAACCCCCTGGGTGTCTCCTGGCTAAAGAATTATACATGGGAGCATTCATCAGGGAGGCTTTCTATAGGTACAAGACCAATATTTTCAAGAGGCCCTGTATAGAAATATATGGAGAATCATATAAGGACTAGAATCATGCAAGTAAAAATTGTAAGATGCTTCATGATAGGCCTGTAGGAAACATTTTCTTACCTATTTTTGAAAATATGTTAATAACCACCTTACGTTATATTATATCTGAAAGAGAAGTTCACGGATGTTTCTGTCCCCTCGCTGTTGTAAAGAATTATAAAGAACGCCATTGTGTCACTAGAGGGCTCTACCACAGCTGTAAACATTACTGACAATATTTATTTTCTATTACATACCTGCTCGTATCTGAAAGCAAATAACAAAGAGAGATTTTCCTTGGTCCTCCCTTCCTAGTAAAAGGACAGGTCTCTAACAGGGAGAGGCTGGGAAAAGAAAGCATTCTTCAAATGTTCCTCCAACAGAAGATACAAAACAGGCCATCTAGTTCTAAGGGTACCTCCCTTTTTGTTATTCCTGAACCTTTGATAAAAACCTCATTTAAAAGGTTCCAGCCGTATCTCAGCTGTGCTCAAAGAAGACAACGTATAGGTTTATGGCGTGGTTAGTTCAGAGTTAAAGGGGAACAGTCTAAGAACAAAACGGTGGGGGACAAAGATAAAACTGAGAGGACCGCCCCCCATTCCACTGTCCACAAGCCCATGAGGCTTTGTTTTCTTAGGGGGACACTTGGGTGCAGGATTTCCTGCCATCACATACCCAAGAATCAAATGAGATAAAAAAAAAAAAAAAAAAAAAGCAGAGATCTGGGACTCACCCCAGATCCGAGGAGTCAGAATGTGCGTGGTAAGGGGCCGGAACAGGCCTTTTGAAAAGCTTCCCAAGGGATTCCTACACTAAGGCCTGGGAATCTCGGCAAATCACTGCTTTCTAAGAACGGCTTTCCGGGGTCCACAAGGTCAGAACTATTGTCACGGTCGTACGGAGACGTTGTTTGTTTTGTTCATTTTCTCTTGAACGTGTGGCGTTTACCGGAGGCCACATGCTGTGTGATATCACAACAGATTGCACGCGGAGCAGACATGAGATGCCATCTGTCTCTTTAAGGCGGGCAGGAGAGACATCTGCAAAAAATGGGATGCAGTGCCACTTTTCTCACGAAACCTTAGCTTTGAATGTTTTGGAAAGTAGAGATTTTCTTCGTAGAAGTGTTTATAGCTACGTGTTTGTTATTTTTAAATGGATAAATATGTGTAACTTTTAATTTTTCACATATTTATAGCCCACATAAACAGAAGGTCTTGAGGCCAAACCGTCTAAGACCTGCTCCTTCCCGCAGACGCCCCATGTCCTGTGAACATGACTGCCGACGGGCATGGCTGCTCAGTTCCTTGGCACACTCGGTGTACTGGTGTACTTCACTTTAAATGTGATTCAACAGATCATCAGCAAAAAGGCTTCCTAAACCCATTTTTGGGCAAGGGGATGCAATCGGACAGTGACTATTGAAGTCTGCCTGGTTTTCAAGTCTAAGAGACAAAGCAAGTCTTCCTTGGTGACATCAGAATGTAATAAATAACCCTTGAATGTATACACAGGTTGACTCTAACGTATGGAATAGAAAATCACACATGACGTAAGGCATTTAAAAAATATTCATTAGCTACGTGTCAACACAACATTGGATTCTAAGTGAGCAGCCTCAAATGAACGACATACTGAGAATTGTTAGCTAAGAATAAGTCCCTAATTTTTAAAAAATATATATTTTATTGATTTTTTACAGAGAGGAAAAAAGAGAGAGAGAGAGTTAGAAACATCGATGAGAATCATCGACCAGCTGCCTCTTGCACACCCCCAACTGGGGATGTGCCCACAACCAAGGCACATACCCTTGACCGGAATCGAACCCCGGGACCTTTCAGTCTGCAGGCCGACGCTCTATCCACTGAGCCAAACCGGTCTTGGCAAGTCCCTAATTTTTGAAAGGAAATGAAATAGGGGTTGAACTGAGGTTCCTGGAGAGAACAGTTTTTAAAAAAAATTATACTTCTCGCCTGGCCGGCATGGCTCAGTGGTTGAGGATTGACCTGTGAACCAGGAGGTCACAGTTCGATTCCTGGTCAGGGCACATGCTCAGGTGGCGGGCTTGATCCCCAATAGGGGGCCTGCAGGAGGCAGCCGATCAATGATTCCCTCTCATCCTTGATGTTTCTCACTCTCTTTTCCTCTCTGAAATCAATAAAAATATATTTAAAAAGTTATACTTCTCAACAATGTAGAAATGTGAATAGACAGATTAATCCTGACATTATACTAAGCTGCAGAATTCTTACAGATACTATTGCCGAGTTAATATCGAAGTGTCTGTTGCCTTAGAGGATGCAGACTGAGAACACTTTGAGGTTTAGGCATAGCTGTGGCGGAAGCAGCTCCTTCTAGCATTTTGATTGTATCTCAGGTATGAAATAAGGACACTGATGCTTTTAACCCGCCGTGTACGATTTTTAATGTATTGCTATTTAAAAATTCTGAGCCAAGCTAACATTTTAATAAATCACTGCTGTTTGGGAATGATGTTTAAATGAGTGGTGCTGTGAATATATTTGCTAATTTATACCACATTAAGACACTGAATGAGAAAGTCCTTTAATATATCTTACGTTGAGTAACTGGTATTTGAAAAGAAGTATATGTTTCCGAGTAGCCTTTGGGAGACAGGGCACTGAATATCGTTTCGTCACAGCTTCCTCTCCTGACTTGTACATACTTGTCCTCCCACCTGAAGGGAGTTCAGTAGGTCTCCAGCCAAAAGCTCAGCGAGCCTGACGTCCCCCCTGCCCCCCCATTTCGGCCTGCGTGCTCACTTACAAACCATCGCTTCCCTGCAAGCTTTCCACTTGGTGTGTCAAAGGTCAATGTCATGAGAGTCCTCTGCAGGGGTCCGTGGTTTTGTGCGGCCTCTGGATGATGACGGCGTTCTGTAAGTCCGCTTCTTCCAGCGTGAGCGCTTCGTCCAGCAGCCTGAGGTAGGGGCGCGCCGTGGCCAGGGAAAAGGGGGGGCTTCTGTGAGAGCCCTGGTACTTTTCGATGAAGTCTCTGATGTGGCTTATCCTGCAAAATGGCGCCGACGATTAGTGCAATTTTTATTTTAATATATTTTATTGATTTTTTTACAGAGAGAGGAAGGGAGGGAGATAGAGAGCCAGAAACGTCGATGAGAGAGAAACATCGACCAGCTGCCTCCTGCACACCTCCCCACCCGGGGATGTGCCCGCAACCAATGTACATGCTCCTGACCGGAATCGAACCTGGGACCTTTCAGTCTGCAGACCGATGCTCTACCACTGAGCCAAACCGGTTTCGGATACAAAGTGTTTTCTTAACGCATAGAATTCTTTTTAATATTTATTGTAAGAGCACTTTTAACTTAATTTCATACAAACATTTATCACGTCACCCATGGGCTTCATTATACAAGCACAATGAAATGGCTGAGTCATTCTTAGTGAACACTAGTCACACTCGGACCCGGGAATGTTTTTCCACATAATACCTATCCTCGGAGTCACCAGGTGTGTTGTTGATACAGAATTTAAGAAGTGTTCTGCTACTGTCTCTGGGATGTTTTTGCTCATCTGGTACTTGCTTTGCATGCTCTGAGGCAGACACTAAGGCAAAGACAATTGGGACATGATTGCCATGTGGCCAACAATGGCTGCACCCCCATTTCAGAGGCGCTAAATGTAAAAAAAAGTGCAACTCAGACTTAATGAAATATGGCATATCATGAAAGACAAAATTCTCCCAATCCACTAAAATTAAAAAATGCCACTCTATTAAACCTGTGCAGGTTACGAAAAAGGTCTAGATGTGGTCCTGTATATTTCTTTGGGTACCAAATATTAGGTAATTAATGGCTAAAGCTTATGGCGAACAATACAAATATAAAAAGTAAGAAAAACAGTAAAGATTAAAGGAACTCGTTTCAGCCAGTTTGGCTTAGTAGACAGAGCGTTGGTCTGCAGAATGAAGGGTCCCAGGTTCGATTTTGGTCAAGGGCACATGCCCAGGTTGCAGGCTCAATCCCAAGTAAGGGGCATGCAGGAGGCAGCCAATCAACGCTTCTCTCTCATCATTGATGTTTCTATCTCTCTCTCCCACTCCCTTCTTCTCTGAAATCAATAAACATATATATATATATATACATATGTGTGTGTGTGTGTGTGTTTAAAGATTAAAGAAACTGCAGTAAAAATAACAAATATAGTTATAGTTATGGCCCAGTGTGGCTCAGTGGATAGAGCATTGGCCTGCGGGTTCCATTTCTGTCAAGAACATGTATCTCGCCTGCAGGCTCCTCCCTGGTTGGGGCTTGTGTACGAGGCAACCAATCAATGTGCTTCTTTCACATCCAGTTTCTCTCTGTCTTTCCCTCTTTCTTCCACTCTCTCTAAAAATCAATGGGAAAACATCCTGGGGTGAGGATTAAAAAACAAAACAAGCCGGGACCGGTTTGGCTCAGTGGATAGAGCGTCGGCCTGCAGACTGAAAGGTCCCGGGTTCGATTCTGGTCAAGGGCATGTGCTTTTGTTGCGGGCACATCCCCAGTAGGGGGTGTGCAAGAGGCAGCTGATCGATGATTCTCTCTCATCGATGTTTCTAACTCTCTGTCCCTCTCAATTTCTCTCTGTGTAAAATCAATAAAATATATTTTAAAAATAAATAAATAAATAAAAAACAAAGCAAAAAAAAAGTATACTGTGATCTCTATAATCACATTAAGATAATAAAGAAATGCAATTCTTGGTTGAAGTTAATAGAAGAAATAAAAATAAAAATTAGAAACAAATCAGCCAAATAATGAAGTGAAAGACTCACCTATGAGACATGTTAAATTTCTGAACAATCCTTTTTCCACTGGCTAACCAGATCTGTATACTAGTGATGGGTTCCAGGTCGTTTAGTGGGACAGTAGACAAATTATTTTTCTTCTCAACTTCAATACTTTTTGTTTTTGAAATAATTTTTGGTGTGGCACTAAAAAAATCCAGACAATAAAATCAGATTAATGTTAGCACACAGATATATATGTCATTCATTTCCACCAAATGCACACTGTTATTCTGTTAAAAAGTAGATCCAATGGTGTACAGATTATTTTCAGCATTTTGAAAATCACATCTGGATATTTTTATATGTGTGCATGAATGTGTATACACTTTACCAATCTTGAAAATTAACATGAGAATTCATAAAAATAAAAGTGATCCCACATCTAACCTCTTTGCATATTCTGCTATAAGGCATAGATATACAGAAGACTGGATAGAGTGTTGGCCTGTGGACCAGAGGATCCTGGGTTCGATTCCAGTCAAGGGCACACACCTTGGCTGCAGGCTCCTCTCCAGCCCGGACACTAATTGGGGTCCGTGCGGGAGGCAACCAATTGATGTGTTTCTCTAAACACATTGATGTTTCTCTGTCTTTCCCTCTCTCTTCCACTCTCCCTAAAAAATCAATGAGGAATATCCTTGGGTGAGGATAAAAAAAAAAAAACAAAAAACTGCAAAATCTGAAAATAATGAAAGGTATGTGTGTTTTTTATTTCAGAGAGAAAGTTAGAAACATTAATAAGGAGAGAGAATCACTGATTGGCTGCCTCTTGCATGCCTCCACTGGGGATTGGGCCCGCGATCTGCGCATGTGCTCTGAGCAGGCATCGAACCCTGAGCTCCTGGTTCATGGGTTGACACTCAACCACTGAGCTACACCAACTGGGCGTAATTAAAGGTTTTGATACTACCAACATCTGAAAGGAAATGACTGCCACTTTTTATATATTTATTACTTGATGTAATGAAGCTTATTTTCTTTTTTTAATTTTTTAAAATATATTTTTATTGATTTCAGTTGGAAGGGAGAGGGAGAGAGAGATAGAAACATCAATGATGAGAAAGAATCATTGATCGGCTGCCTGCTTCATGCCCCCTACTGGGGATTGAGCCCACAACCGGGCATATGTCCTTGACCGGAATTGAACCTGGGATCCTTCAGTCCACAGGTAGACGCTCTAGCCACTGAGCCAAACTAGGACATAAAGCTTATTTTCATTAACAACAAAAATAAATAAAGGTTTTAATACTGCTAACTTTATCAGACATTTTTCATTTTCATTACCTCGAAATTCAGATATTGATTACAGTACAATGTTGAAAGCAGTGGTATGTGTAAAACTGAACCCTATATTCAAAAGCTAGCAGATGCATGCTAACTTTAACGGCAAAACTCAATGGTGGGTGTAAGGGAGAAAAGAAATGACTCATCCATCCAATTTTGCCTAATGTCCTCAATAATCCATGCCCTTTGATTTGATGAAACCAAACAAGCATCCAAGGTTTTTTTTTTTACTGTAGTGCCAGCATATGCTAATTCATACTAAGGTAAATATGACTTAGTGGAGTCCTCACAAGAGCTAACATAAAAAGTTTCATTCGCACTAGCTGAAGTGGCTCAGTTGGTTGAGCATCGTCCGGTGCACTGAAAGGTTGCTAGTTCAATTGCCATTCAGGGCATATACTGGTACCTGGGTTGTGGGTCTGATCTCCAATTGGCACCTGATCAATGTTTCTTTCTCACACTGATGTTTCACTTACTCTCCCTCTCTCTTTCGCTCTCTCTCTCTGCACGTCCTCGGTGAGGATTAATAAAAAAAATTCCATTTGCAATAGGAGAAATGATAAGCTCCATATCTGTGGCCTCCCTGGAAAAACAATGACGGGCTGAATGTTAGTCCAGCCTCTGCTACGACAAGCACGGGTCAGGAGCCCACTCACCTTCCCAGTCGGTGACCCGGTCCTGAGAAGGCCTGGAACACAGGCTTCGTTGCCACACATACTTCATGTTTCTTATCTTCAACTTTAACATCCACCTCCTCCTTATCAAACGTCCCCTGTAATTCCAAAGGCAGTTCCCTGGGAAGGGAAAGAAACAAAGGGCCCGCACTCACCACGTGCATTTTCTTTTTCTGAAAAACATACTCTACATGCAAAAGAAACTGAAAAATATCCTTTATAATAAAATCCTAATATGCCAAGCGTCTGGTCATCCAGTCATCCTTTCAACCAATCCAAGCGTAATATGCAAATGATATGCTAAGGCCGGTCAGCAACTTGCTATGACATGCACTGACCACTAGGGGGCAGATGACCAGTAGCTATGATGTGCACTAACCACTACAGGGCAGATGATCAACACAGGAGCTGTCTCCAGTCCGCAGGCCCCAGGCCAGCCAAGGCAGGTGCCAGCGGGAGGCATTCTCCCCCCCCCCCCCCCAATAGCACCACTGGTCACCCAACAGATTGGCCCTTGTCGTGGGCAGGGACTCTACCTGTGCACAAATTTCGTGCACTGGGCCTCTAGTATAGAAATAAGAGACATATCATCTTCACAATAAAAAAAATGAATGCAGTTAAAATAAGTTAAATAGTGCAAATACTAAAAAACAAGAATATTGCTACTGAATCATTGTTTAGCGTACAAATTCATGAACAGCTTGAGTCATTCAGCAGCACCTAGAATGGTACTAAAGTCATGAGGTATTTGATGACCATATGCTGCTAAATTTAAGCACTTTGATAATTTTTATAGGTGTCTGAATAGGGCTAAAAATATACTAGAAAAATCAAGCTATCACTTCAAATTTTAAATGAAAATATAGATTTATTCTGGGGATGACAAATAAAATATAAAACATGTCATATATATATATATATATATATATATATTTAGTTTCAGAAAGGAAGGGAGAAGAAGAGAGAGGTAGAAACATCAATGATGAGAGAGAATCACTGGTCAGCTGCCTCCTGCATGCCCCCTACTGGGGATCCAGCCCTTAACCCAGGAATGTGCCCTTGACCAGAACTGAACCTGGGACTCTTCAGTCCACAGGCCAATGCTCTATCCATTGAGCCACACTGGTCAGGGGTACAAACTGCTTTTTTAGAGCAATATACTACAGAACTCTTCTCATGTTAGCATACAGATATACATGTCATTCGGGCTTGTATAGAATATATAAAGCACTCTCACAACTCAACAAAATGCAAGTAAACCAATTTTAAAAACAGGCAAAAAGAAAAATGGACAAAGGATTTGAACAGACATTTTGTTGAAAGGAGATATACACATGGTTAATACATACATGATAAAATGCACAGCATCGCTGGTCATTAGAGAAATGAAAATTAAAAACATAGTAAGATACACCACTTCATACCCATTAGGATAACAGTGATGAAAAAAACTGACACTAACAAGTGTTCACAAGTCTATGAAAAATTGGAACTCTCATACACTGTTGGTGGGAATGTGAAATGGTGCAGTCACTTTGGAATACTGTTTTGTAGTGCTTCATAAAGTTAAACATAGAGTTAGAAAACAGTTCTGCTCCTAGACCTGAGAGAATTGAAAACATATGTCCACACAAAAACTTGCTACAAAAAATGCTACAGGAATGTTCATAGTAGCATTATTTGCAATGGCCAAAATGTGGAAATGACCCAAATGTTTATCCACCGAAAATTGGATAAACTAAATGGGATTACCTATGCAATGGAAACCACAATTCAGAGACTATAAAGGTATTTAAACATGAACATTAAATGTAACAACTAGGATGGGGTATTAGGTAATTCTTGGCAACGTGAATTAGTTTAAATCAGATTCTGACTGATCAAAATTCAAAACTCCTACCCCTTTTTCAAAATTATAGCTGTGGCTCTCTTAAGAAAACCCATCCTATGAAAATATGGATTTCTAAAAGTACCTGTGAATGTGGAGGGATGTGTAAACATCCATTAAAAACCATCCTTCCAAATGAAACATGCCTAAACTACCCTTCTCTTGTCAAAGATTGCTTACCCTTTTTTGATGGAATTCAGAAACTGCTGACTTGCACTGTCTGAATAACTTCTGAAATCATCATTGACCGTGAAGCCATTTTTCCATAATTTTATATTTATATCTACCTGCAAAGCAGGAAGAAACAAAATGCATCATGTTAATTAAAAAAAATATGATACTTCAGTATATTGTAAAATGCCTTATGTGTACTTCGCATTTTGTCACACAATATTAATAAGATGTGCACTAAAGGATTGGGATTTAATAAAAATTATTATTATTACTACTTCTTCAAGAACATTCTTAATTGACACCAGTGTTCATTTTCTCTCTGCAAGTGCAAGCAAAGAAGACCGTAATTACTAGTACAGTTTGTAGCCACTGCCTTGATTCCTTCTTTTTTATTTCTTATTTTATATACTTTATTGATTTTTTACAGAGAGGAAGGGAGATGGATACAGAGCTAGAAACATCGATGAGATAGAAACATCGATCAGCTGCCTCCTGCACATCCCCCACTGGGGATATACCCGCAACCAAGGTACCTACATGCCCTTGACCAGAATTGAACCCGGGACCCTTCAATCCACAGGCCGACACTCTATCCACTGAGTCAAACCGGTTTCGGAAATTCCTTCTTTTTTAATTACTTCATTGATTAAGATATCACATATCCCCTCCCATCCCCATCCCAAACCCCTCCCCATGCATGCCCCCACTCCCCCAATTCCTTCTAAGGTGTCAGCAGCTTTATTACCCACCATCGATTTTGCAGGATCAGTGGCAAGATCAACATGATGACCAGGTAAATAACATCTCACTAACTGTTGTTATTACACAGTTTTGATCCCATGGACCCTCAAGGTCCGTATGTGGAGAAAAGGAGAAAAAAAGCCAGAGGCTTTTACCTGTTTCTTCTGTTCGGTGGGAGACAAGCATTTGGCACCAACCTTCTGGGCTTCCTCAAAGAGACTGTCAACAAAATACTCGCAAGTTGCTTGTCGACTGTCACCAAGAGGCTGGTTGTCAGATCCTGTTTCACAAACCCTATATACACAACGCAGAAAAGTAAGCATTAGTAACTGCTGGTTCTCTAAAAGTTTACATAAATGGTTCTGTTAAGGGCTCCTGGTCTGAGATGCTACTTCCAAGTCCGCAGTCTAGACCCTCTTCTAAGTTAACACAGAGGTGACCTTGGGAAGTCACTAACCCTTTTTGGTGCAGAGCAGGGTTTTCTCAAGTTGAGTCTATTGGCATTTGGGGAGAGGTAATTCTTTGTTGTGCAGGCTGTCCTAGGTGTTCTAGGATGTTTAGCAGCCTTAACCCATTAGATATCAGGTGCATGCATACTTTTCCACCCCCAAAGTGTTATAGCAACCAAAAACATATGTGGGGTGGGAGCTGGGGGATAAATTTCACCAGGATGATGCTCTAACCAACTGACCTACCCAGGCAGGGCACTACCTTACCAACGTTCACATATGCAATACATGGTCACTAATTAGCAACTATAGTCACTATAGTACATTACACCCCTATGACCTATTATTTTATACCTGGAAATATGCATCTTTTGAACCCCTTCACCCATTTTGCTCACTTCCATATACTGGATTTCATTCTATATTTATATTATACTAGTGGCCTGTTGCACGAAATTTGTGCAGTTGGGGGGGGGGGGAGAGAAAGGGGGTGTTCCTCAGCCTAGCCTGCTTCCTCTCCAATATGAGACATCCCTCTCTCAATCCAGGACCACTGGCTCCTAATCATTCACCTGCCTGCCTGCCTAGTTGCCCCTAACTACTCTGCCTGCCAGCCTGCTCGCCCCCAACTGCACCCCCTCCCCGCCCTGATCATCCCCAGTTGCCCTCCCCTCCTGGCCTGATCCCCCCTAAGCGCCTCTACCTTGGCCCCACCACCATGGCTTTGTCCAGAAGGACGTCTGGAAGATCTCCCAGTCTAATTGGCATATTGTGCTTTTATTAGTATAGACATGAAATATTAACTAAGATTTATTTTATAGAAAAAAATATTCCTGACAGATCTTTTTTGAATTCATATATTAGATTCATAACGTTCTGAGATGTATCTTCTCAGGTTCAATAAGTAACCAACACTTTTTATAGCTCTTGGACTGTGCCAGGAACTATAGATACACCTTTATCCACATTTTGTAGATAAGAAAAATGAGTCACAGAGAGGTTAACGTTCAAGTCGGAGGTTACACAACTAGTAAGCGGCAGAAACAGAATGTGAACAGAATGTTAATGTCCTCCAAGTCTATGCTGCTACTACCATGATGTGCTATAAAGCCTCTCTTAATAACGGACAGTTATTGTGCATTTATTAATACACTAGAGGCCCGGTACACGAATTAGTGCAGGGTGGATTTCCGTCCAGCCTGCCCCTGATCGGGGTGAGGGGGCCCAAGGGGAGGGGCTGTGGGCAGTTGGCCAGTCGGCCCTATCCCTGTCGAAATCCCAATTGAGGGCACAATTTGCATATCAGCCTTTTATTATATAGGAGGATGTTAGGAACCATTCTAAGTACTTTACACATGTTAACTCATTCAGTCCTCACAAGATCTAAAGGGCTCCACTGAGTAGATAATGAAACAGCTTAAGCAATTTGCCCAAGATCACAAAGCTATTGGGAGGTGAAGCTGGGAACAGAAGCCAGGTCACCAATGTCTGCACTCTTAATCACTGGGCTAGACTGTCTCTCAAAATAGCCATAATTATATTGCTCTCAAATTGCTGACACTCCAGGCAATATTTTAATTTAAATACATTCTTTATACTCTTCTAGGAAATTCTATATCTACTCTTTAAAAAAAACAAAAAAAAAAACCACAACATTTTTTTTTTTTTAGAGAGGAAGGAGAGAGAGATAGAAAGATCAATGATGAGAGAGAATCATTGATCCACCGCCTCCTGGACGCCCCCTACTGGGGATCGAGCCTGCAACCCGGTCATGTGACCTTGACAGGAATAGAACCTGGGGCTTTTCAGTCGGCAGGCCGACGCTCTATCCACCGAGCCAAACCAGCCAGTGTTCTGTATCTACTCTTAAGACACTCCCTATTATCATAAAGTATTAATTATGCCTTTCCCAAGGCCATGATATGATACTTCTTATTAAAAAAATAATCATACCCTAAGATGATTTCTCACAATGCTAATGTAGTCAATGTTGTGAATGTAGTAAAAATCATTGAATTGAATACTCTAAGTGCATAAATTATATGGTATGTGAATTAGGTCTCCATAAAGCTATTGAAATAAAAAGCCCCAAGCTAATTTTAGTCTCTTAAATCATTCGTTCACTTTATTTCCGTGTAGGAAAGAGTCAATCCGGTGGGCCTCGCTGCTAGCCTCTACAAGGCCTGCTTGCTTTCCTTCGGAGAGTCTGAAATGTGAGGAGGTGACTGGCCCCCAACAAAATGCCGAGGCTCGCTTTCCGTGACCTTCCTCGGTAGCTAGCATTTCACACGGGCTGTCCTAGCGTATTCCTGGGAGAATACAGTACGTCCCAGGTGAGGCCTCTTGGAAGCCGGTGCCCGGTTTCTCCTGGACCTTGCCCCATGTGCTCTCTGCCCTTTGCTGATTTTGCTTTTTACCCGTCCGCTATAATATTGTAAATCATAGTGTGACTATACGCCTGGGGGTGGGCTTAGAGACTCCTCCCCAACACAATCTTAGGATTAGACAGTTAGTCTCAAATATAAATAAAACGATAAACACTCTCGTCAAAAAAAAAAAAATAACAGATGTTTGTTTGATACAGAAGCATGTTCAAAATATGTGCAAGTGTGAAATAAATGCTTGTCTGTCTCAAAGGAACTACGAATGAAAGAAATGTGCCTCAAGGATTTAAAACAGAGCAAAAAGCATAACACAAGAGATAGTTCGCCTGCGTAAGTGAGAATAAAGTATTCTATATTAACAGTCAGACATTTTGCATTTGCCGTTTATTGAGTGCCTTCTAGGTTGTGAATACTATGCTAAGTGCTTTATATAGGCTATCTAATTCTCCCCCAAATATTTCAGGTACCTAGGTAGAACCCCAGTTCATATATATTTTTGTAAAAATGTATTTTTTTAATTGCTGACAGTATTACAGATGTCCCCTGTTCGTCCCCACTTTGTTTCCTCCACCCAGCCCACACCTCACCCCAGGCCTTCACCACACTATGGTCTGTGTCTGTGGGCTATACAGATGAGACACTGAAGCTCAAATAATCTGTCTACCTCACTCACAGGCCAGAGAAGTGGTGTAAGAAAGAGATGTCCCTAACCGGTTTGGCTCAGTGGATAGAGCGTTGGCCTGCGGACTCAAGGGTCCCAGGTTTGATTCGGGTCAAGGGCATGTACCTTGGTTGGGGGCACATCTCCAGTGGGAGGTGTGCAGGAGGCAGCTGATTGGTGTTTCTCTCTCATCGATATTTCTAACACTCTTTTCTTCTCCTTTCCTCTTTGTAAAAAAAATCAATTATATATATATATATATATATATATATATATATATATATATATATATAATTTTTTTTAAAGAGATGGACTCAAACCTAGGTTCATCTGACTCCAAAGCCATTATGTTTCCATTGTGACTCTATCACAAGAAGCTAACAAAGTCATATAAATGGAATTCCTCATTTATATGACAGCCGTAATATGCAAAGAGAAAATTTTAACATTTTAAAAAATATATTTTATTGTTTTTTTACAGAAAGGAAGAGAGAGGGGTAGAGAGCCAAAAACATTAAAGAGAGAGAATCATCGATCAGCTGCCTCCTGCATACCCCCCACTGGGGATGTGCCCGCAACCAAGGTACATGCCCTCGACCAGAATCGAACCCAGGATCCCTCAGTCCACAGGCCAACGCTCTATCCACTGAGCCAAACCGGTTTTGGCTTTAACATTTTTTTTCTACCAAAAAAGAATATGCTTATTAATTCACTTAAATTCTTAAAAATACTTTTTGGCAATTGTCCTAACAATGTTTTTGTTTTTTTAATTAGTAACAAGAAGATCTAGTGACTTCACTAAAATCCATTCAATGCAGTGATGGTAAAAAAAGAAAAAAAAAGAAAAAGTTGCTTTAAAATATACTACTATTAGGTATTTAACTGAGATAATCATAATGAACACTTACTATCACAGTCAGTGAAATGCAGTAAAAATAGGAAAAGAAACTAACGAAGGCATTACTAACACAGAAACTTCATAGACCGAATTAACTTACCATTCTTTTATACCTTCAAGATTATCTACTTCTTTCATTCTCTTCTGCCTTACTGTAAAGGTAAAAGGAAACAAAAGTTAAAGTTACGAGTTTAGCGTTTTAAAGAAATTAATTCCTAGCATTTGAAATTGCATGCATCCATATTCTCTCACATAAGTTACTATGGGTCTCAAACTGACACTTAAAGGATCTTAAGAACAAGTGACCTGAACTCAAAGCTCTCACTAGGACACACAGTAAAATTACTATGTGTTAAATGACTTGAAAAAATCCTTGTGTGGTGTTGCCACCTACTTGATAAGCCAATTCAAACTGTTAATATGTTTCTTAAGTGTGTAGGATAGTTAAATGGCTCCATATAAATATTGTTCCGGAGACAGCCTGCTTCCATCCTCGCCCCTCCCACGTTGTCCTCTCCTTCCCAGCTTATGGGTAACCTTATTTCCCCCCTAATATGAACAAGTATCTATATTCACGTCCATCTCTTCCTTAGATAAAGTGGTAGCATACAAATGAGCTATGTGAAACACAGACAATAGTTATGAACTGCCTGCCTATTGCAAAATTCAAGACAGGGAAAAATCAGATCTATTTTATCTAATCTGGAATATCTGGTTATTTAACAACAACAAAAAAGATACCACAATCTCCCCCCCCCCCCCCCCCCCCGTCCCCCTCTGATCTATTTTATTTTATTGTTTAAAGTATTACAAATAGTAGTACATATGTCTCCTATACAATCAAACTGATCAATGGAGAGAAAGAAAAAAGAAATCAATTAAATTGATTCTTTAAATAAGCTTTAAAATTAAATAAGCTTTAAAAGAAAATACTGGCATGCAATGCTTTAATAAACCTATATAAGTTAGTTTCAATTCATGACTATGCTTTTAAAAAGTTCATATTAGGGAAAAACTAAATTAAAACTTCTATTTATATGTGCTTAAAACAATATAGTTAAGAATATGTTATTATTAGGTCATGACAGATCTTTTTATGGCATTAAGATCCAAGAGACTACACTATGGATTTAAAACGAAAGAAAAACACTTTACCCAAAAAAGGAGACAGAATCAAGTTGGATTTCTACAAAGCATTAAAAATATTTCAACTCCAAATAGGTGGTATCAAATAATATGTTTCTTAGATTCTCTCTAGAGAGTACATATACAGAAGGCAAATCCAGCACAGCTATTTAAAAACGTAAGTCTTAAGCCTCGGCCAGGTGTGGTCAGGAAGAGTGTGGCCCCATACACTGAAGGTCCCTGTGTCATTCCTTCTCAGGGCACAGTTTGGGGTTTGATCCCTGGTCTGGGTGCATATGGGAAGCAGCCAATCAATGTTTCTCTTTCATATTGATGTTTCTCTCTCTCCCCCTCTCCTTTCCTTTTTCTAAAAAGAAGAAAAAAAATCAATGGAAAATATCCTCAGGTGAGGATTATTTTATTTTATTTTTGTTAATCCTCACCCGAGGATATTTTCCCATTGATTTTTAGAGAGAGTGGAAGAGAGGGCAAGACAGAGAGAAACACTGATGTGAGAGAAACACAAAGATTGGTTTGCCTCCTGGACATGCCCTGACCAGAGCCTGGGCCAGGAGGAGCCTGCAACCAAGGTATGTGCCCTTGACCCGAATCGAACCCAGGACCCTTTGGTCTGAAGGTCAATGCTTTGTCCACTGAGCCAAACAGTCTAGGGGCAGGATTTTTTTTTTTTTTTTAAGTAAGTTTTAAGTATACTTATTTATTTATTAAATAATCCTATCTGGAGGATATTTTTTCCATTGATTTTCAGAGACTGCAAGGGAGGGATGGAGAGGGGAGAAAGAGGGAGGAAAAGAAAAGAAGAAAGAGAGAGATTTGTTGCCTCCTACATGTACCCCAACTGTGGCTGGGGATCAAACCTGCAACCCAAACACATGCCCTTGACAGGGAATCGAACCCAAGATCCTTCGGTGCATGGGCTGGCTCTCTAACCACTGTGACATAGAGGCCAGGGAATTTTAAGTATATTTAAATAGAAAACAGACGTCAGTCATAGCCATTCCAAAGCCATGAGAACAAGAAAGAAAACGGGCACTAGAATAATCTACTGGCCCCTTAACAGCCTCCGAAGGATCTGGAGGTGAAGTTAACCTGGGTAACAGGATCCAGGGCAGCCTTTCATCAGAGAAAGTGAGAGTCTGATAGATCTGACTTCCACTCCAGCTTTCCAGTTTGCTCCTGCTGCTGGAGCTGGGCCATAACCACAGCCAGCTTGGCTGGAGCACTCACGCCCAGGGAGCCTACGTTTTGCTAAGACTTGGAGTAGAACAGGGGAGTCTGCTCCGGAAAATTGGAGCCTATCTTGAAAATTGTTTTCAATACCTCTATTGTTTTCATTATGACTTGAATGTAAACTGAGAGCGACTTCATTCCTTAGCCTGCTTATGAGAAAACAGTGAGCAATTCTGAAACATGAGGCCAAACAGAGGAAGAGAGGAGACGGAAATTCTGAAGGCGGAGGAGTGAGCAGGAAGGGTGTGAGGCCGGGACCCTCAGCAGCATTCCCAGTAGTCATTTCAGACTCTAGCTTCTGACTAGAGGGTAAGGTAGAGAGAGTCACTTAGAGCCACATGACCCCTTTAAATCGTGTACATGTTACTTTGATAAAACGTTTTAAGAACCAGAAAACAAATTGAAAATATATTCAGAAAAGCAGAATTTAATGTGTACTAATATTTTCTCCTATGACATGTCCTTCAAATCTCATCATTTCTAAAACGATTTAATTGCTTCCCTTTTAAAAATTGCTTCCCTTACAAACATACATAAAATAGAGAAATATATAGCCGAAGCCAGTTTGGCTCAGTGGTAGAGCGTCGGTCTGCGGACTGAAAGGTCCCAGGTTCGATTCCGGTCAGGGGCATGTACGTTGGTTGCGGCACATCCCCGGTGGGGGGTGTGCAGGAGGCAGCTGGTCAATGTTTCTCTCTCATCGACGTTTCTAGCTCTCTCTCTCCCTTCCTCTGTAAAAAATCAATAAAATATATTTTAAAAAATAAATAAAAATTAAAAAAATAGAGAAATATATAAACACCCATCCCTACTATTCAGATCCAGAAAAATTTACATTTTGACTTTTTTCTGTTTATTTATTTAAAAATTTTTTTTTATTGATTTCAGAGAGGAAGGGAGAGTGAGATGGAAACATCAATGATGAGAGAGAATCACTGATCAATTGTCTCCTCTGCGCTCCATACTGGGGATGGAACTTGGGCATATGCTCCCGACCTGGGATCGAAACTTAACCTCCTGGTTCATAGGTTGAGGCTCAACCACTGAGCCAGGCCAGCTAGACTCCTTTTGTTTATTTAAGAAATAAAACAGACACAGTTGAATACTCTTTAATATTTTAAAATATTTAATAGCACTTAATATTTAAATAAAAATATTAAATGCTAAAATATGTATTACATGGTATGTCTTTTTAAAAGAGAGAGAGAAAGGTAGAAACATCAATGATGAGAAAGAATCATTGATTGGCTGCCTCCTGAATGGCTCCTCACTCTTCCCACTGGATATGGAGCCCGCAACCCAGGCATGTGCCCTTGACCAGAATGGAACCAGGGACCCTTCAGTCTGCAGGCGGACACTCTATCCACTGAGCCAAACCATTGAGGGCTGCATGGAATGTTTTAAATATGTGCTCTTATTGTATACTAATTATATATTTAAATATGTGCATCTTATTATATATTAATTATATCTAAGTAAAGTTTTTTTTAAAATATATTTTATTGATTTTACACAGAGAAGAATTGAGAGGGACAGAGATTTAGAAACGTCGATGAGAGAGAAACATCGACCAGCTGCCTCTTGCACACCCCCCACTGGGGATGTGCCCGCAACCAAGGTACATGCCCTTGACTGGAATCGAACCCGGGACCCTTCAGTCCTCAGGCCGACGCTCTATCCACGGAGCCAAACCAGTCCCGGCTAAGTAAAGTTTTTAAAAAAATATATTTTATTGATTTTGTACAGAGAGGAAGGGAGAGAGATAGAGAGTTAGAAACATCGATGAGAGAAAGTCATCGACCAGCTGCCTCTTGCACACCTCCTACTGGGGATGTGCCCGCAACCAAGGTACATGCCCTTGACCAGAATCGAACCCGGGACCTTTCAGTCCCCAAGCCGATGCTCTATCCACTGAGCCAAACCGGTTTCGGCCTAAGTAAAGTTTTTAAAAATATTAAAAATATATATTCAGCAACTACTGTATACCAGGCATGAACAAAACTGACACATTACATATTAATGGTGCCGTTTGCTTTTTGCACTTGACAGTTTTCCAACATTATCTTCAGCTCCTCTAAAATAACCCCTTCGTTTAGATGTGATCCTTATTGTGCCATAAACATAACGTAGTCCTCCACTTCTTGGCTCACACTGTAATATCCTTTAGGCATTGAAATCCCCATGACCCTTTCGAGCCCCAACCGAAGGTCCACTTCTACCATAAAGGGGACATAATAAACCCAGTTAACACGCCTCTCCTAAAGCAGTTAGATGTGGGGCATTTAAATCATATTGGTCTTGTTGACTACTGTTTCTGTTCTGTCTTTTAGTCTCTCTACTGGATCCGGGATCCTTGAGGTCCGGTATCATGAGGTACACATTTCCTGGTCCTTCCACAGTGCACAGCAAGTGCAAAGCAAAGAGTTGCCCTCCTGAAAGTGCTATCCTCTAGCAAATCACTACTGCCAGTGATCATTTCCTCATTCTAGGCCACCGATACAGTGTGTTCTGCTTGTTTTATGACAGCCGGAGAGAAGGAAGAGTCCTTGGTTTCAAATGGACTTGTCCTAGGACACTGGCTGCATAATTTCTGAACCATGTAAAGTGTATGTGTAGCCACTGAGTGAGCTGCCACAATCACCACAGTCCCATAATGCCAATGAGCCTAAGGCACGCTCTGTATGGCAGAGAATAAAAGAGCCATCTGGCAAACTCCGAAGTTTCCAGCATGAAGTGGGCCTCAGAATGGACAGATGAACAATTTCTTCGTTTTGCTTCAGTTTACTTCTAATTAGTACCGCCGCCATCTTACGTTGGTACTGTAGATCACAGTTTACCAGACACCTTCCCAAATATTGTCCCACTTAACTCCCAACAACTGTAGTGATAAAATCAGACAGGAGACAGAGTACTCTGAGCTTCTTGGAACATATCCACTGAAAAGAAAAATCTGGCCAAAACAGATTCAGTGCTCTGACCAGTGTGGCTCAGTGGGTTGGAGCATTGTCCTGTACACCAGAGGTTGTGTGTTTGACTCCTGGTAAGGGCACATACCTAGGTTTCAGGCTCCATCCCTGGTTAGGGTGCCCAGGGTTGCATCTTATTGTATATTGATTATATCTAAGTAAAGTTTTAAAAATATTGAAAATGTATATTCAGCAACAACTGTGTACCAGGCATGATTCTGGGTGCTTGGGACACATACTGAACAAAACTGACACGTTACATATTAATGGTGCCGTTTGCTTTTTGCACTTGACAGTTTTTCTGTTTATCTTCAACTCCTCTAAAATAACCCCTTCGTTTAGATGTGATCCTTATTGTGCCATAAACATAACATAGTCATCCACTTCTTGGCTCACACTGTAACTATCCTTTAGGCATTGAAATCCCCATGACCCTCCAAGCCCCAACCCAAGGTCCACTTCCACCATAAAGGGGAAATAATAAACCCAGTTAACACGCCTCTCCTAAAGCAGTTAGATGTGGGGCATTTAAATCTTCTTGGTCTTGTTGACTATTGTTTCTGTTCTGTCTTTTAGTCTCTCTACTGGATCAGGCATCCTCGAGGTCTGGTATCATGAGATACAGTTTCTCCGAAAGGTATGAATATATCGTATTTTTCGGACCATAAGACGTACCAGTTTTTAGAGAAGGGAAATGAAGAAAAAAAGATTCTGAAACAAATAGTGTCCTAAAATATTTTATGTGCATTAAAACCCAATATCACAGTCATAAACACATGTAATCAACCCTGTAAAGTAAACAGCAGCATTTAGAACCATTTTAGAGCCGGGCAAGCACACAGAGACCACACAGAGCCGGGCAAGTAAAAAAACTTTTTTTTTTAAAGTATATGTGTAGGCTATATTTGGACCATAAGACGCAGGGACTTTTTCCCCCCACTTCTGGGGGGAAAAAAGTGCGTCTTATGGTCCGAAAAATACGGTAGGTTTGCTAACACAGCAAGGATAGACCAGTTGGTAACTTAGAATTTGCTTCATCGTCACAGCCACAACCCAAGGTTCTAGCTGGTTTCCTCACATCCACTCATGTCCCCATCCAATCTGATTTCTACACAAATGTCAGGGTGACCTTTCTGACTAACACACAAATTTAATTGTGGGACTTGGCTCCTTAAAAACCCTTCAAAAACCTCCCATTTCCCTTTGAATACGGCCCAAATCCTCTGAATAACACGGCAGGGGGGTTCGCTGAATGGTTCTCGCACTACATTTGAGTGCCTTGAAAAGTTCTCCATAAAAGTTTTAGAAAAACAAAAACAAAAAGGAAAAAAAATGGTTGCAAATCCTTAGCATTGCTTCAGCAGCCCCACAAGATCTCTCTGGCCCCAACCACATCCTCCTGTGCTTTCCACATTCAGTCCAACGGCTTTGACCTTTCCGCTCCCCATCTCTTCCCAGCCTCAGCGGAACCTATTTCCTACGCCTGGACCTTTTCTTCTCGCCTTTGGGAGCCCCCTTCTCCCGTTCCTATTTACCCATACCTCTGCTTGAGGATGACTTTCTTTAAAAAAAATATATATATTTCTTAAAAAAATATATATATATTTTAATTGATTTTGTACAGAGAGGAAGGGAGAGAGATAGAGAGTTAGAAACACCAATGGGAGAGAGTCATCAATCAGCTGCCTGATATGCCCGCAACCATATGATTGGAATCGAACCCGGGACCCTTCAGTCCGCAGGCTGACACTCTATCCACTGAGCCAAACCGGTTTTGGCGAGGATGACTTTCTTAGGAAAACCTTAACTAATTTTCCTGGCTGAGATAAGGGCCCCCGCAGCTCCCTCCTTGCTCTCACCACAGCCTACATTCTTCCTTTTTTTAGCCTCTAAGTTTGCTGGCATTTACTTGTGTGATGATTTGTTCAGATCATCACACAATGACAATGTTTCCCAAATGGCAATGTAAAGTCCTTAAAGGTGAAATCTATAATGGTAGTCATCATGTTGCTAACTGTGAATGGCACCAGACGTAACCTGTGAAGTTAGACTTCGGTGCTTGAGTTTGGCTGAGAAAGAATGTAGGATGTCGCAGAGGTAACAGAAGTGAGCTAGCTAGCTGGGCTGCATGGGCTCAGAAAAACAAGTTATGGAGGCAAAAGAAGAGCCCTTAAAACTTAGGGGAGCCAAAACCGGTTTAGCTCAGTGGATAGAGCGTTGGCCTGCCAACTGAAAGGTCCCAGGTTCGATTCCGGTTAAGGGTATGTACCTTGGTTGCGGGCACATCCCCAGTAGGGGGTGTGCAGGAGGCAGCTGATCAATGATTCTCTCTCATCGATGTTTCTGGCTCTCTTCCTCTCTGTAAAAAATCAATAAAATATATAAATAAATAAAAAAAAACTTAGGGGAAAGCAAACAAGGGGCAGGAAAGGTGCAGGCGTGTAAGGGAATGCGAGTGAGAGAGAGTTCACAGGGAAGTGGGTGGGGACTGTCCGGGTCCTTCATCTCAGGGGATTTTATCTGCTTTCCAAAGCTGGGGGTTTTAGGGGAAGTCTCGGGGGAGCAGCTCAATAGGATATGCACCAGCTTTCCAGGTGTGTTCTTTCAGGGTCCGGGTCTCTGCGATTGGTCAGCACCAGGGTAGGAGGATATCAGTCATTGCAGCTGGTCCTGATGTCAGCCCTGGCATGGCTGCTTCTGGTTTTGCTGCTTTTCCGGGTCTGGTGCTGAAACACGCCTGAGCCTAAATGCTATCTCTGGTTTGACCAAAACCCTGTCTCTGTGGTCAGCACACCCAAGTCTTTGTTCCTGCGATGATGATACAGGCCAGAACCTCATTGCCATGGACACTTCATGCTTACGGGCTGGTATTGGAGTGTCCTGAGGCTATTATTCTCCAGCCCCCTAGTTCTTCCCCGAGGGGGTCTCCCACATGCCAGAAGAGGAAGGTCATCTCAGGACAGGTCCCACCCAGCAATACTTGTTTTCCCAGTTGCTAGGCACCCAGGGCTTTCCAACCAAGTGACCTTCTGTACCTGGACTATGGTTCCCACTCTGCTAATGTCTCACTGCCTACTTACTCTATCAAAACTATTAGCATTCAGCACACCGTAGGTACTAAAAAAATGTGAATGACATTACACTAAGTAATAAACATTAAGTATGAAGCAATTAAAGTACGCATGTAAAGTATTTACCAACCTGCAGGTCTAGGAGTCAGTGGTCAATAAGCAGTAGTGTCTGTTAACTCTGTATTCTGTCAGTATCGTTACTATTTGTGTTTAATCATTTTCTTTATCCTGCACACAATTCTCACTCATTTTTAGATTCCACCACTTCCTAGCATTCACGTTGCTGTTCTTACATGGATGCTCAGTCCTCACTGAATTCAATTGCATTTTTACGTCACTGAGACTTTCAGCATTTTTTTTAAAAAAAAAGTCTGTCCCATTAAGACGAAACTATCATTTAGAAACTTATAAGTACTCCCAAACATGCTTGAGCCATGCCTATGAAATAAGGAAGTTGCTGTTCTCGTCCCTTACAATCATCACACTTTACAGTTCCGCACTGACAGCAATACAGACGACAAGTCTCCCCTCTTTATTTTCAACCATCTCCAATTACCGACCAAGGAGCCAACCCTGAAAAAGCAATCCACTGAGAAAGCAATCCACTGCGAGGACAAAGAAAAACAGACACCCAGGGGAAAAAAAAAAAGAAAGAAAGAAAGAAATTAAGTATGAAAACAGCCGAACACCAAACTTGCAAAACAGAGTGAGCTGTGGGAGGCTGGGAGTGAAGTTAACTAAGACAGACTGACGGCGCTGTGCTTGCTTTTGCAGCGATCGGTCGCCTTTGGAAACAGGGGCATTTGACAGCCTGTAACCCCAAGTTCCTGAGCGTCTTGGGAACGAGAAAACCCACTGAGGTGCTTTCCCGGAGTTCGCTCCCAGGAAGCCCGCAGCCCGCAGCCCGCAGCCCAGAGCCGCTCACCTGGGCTGGGCTGGCCAGGGCCGGGGTCTCGCCCCGCCGCCGCCCGATGGCGCCCTTTCGGGATCGCAGACGCTGGGGCCCCAGACCCAGCGGGAACCCGGTTCCCCCAGACAAAGGCGATCGCGGCGGCCCGGCGGGACCCAACGCCGGTCCCCTCCCCCCAGCCCTGCCCGGCCCGGCTCCCCGCCGACCGCGCCGCGGCCCCGGACACTCACCTCCGGGCGCGGCCGCCGGAGGGGGACCCGCCGCGCCGTCCCCTCCCGGCCTCGTCCTCCGATCCGCTCAGGCCCGCGGGCTCCGCCGCCGGGGGGGCCCCCCCCCTCCCAGCCCCAAAACCGGATCCGGCACCGCAGCGCCCAGACCCTCCCGGGCTCGCGGCCGCGCCCCTGGGACCCGGCCCGCCGCCCGCCCTCCTCCGCCGGCGCCGCGGACACGCGCCCCGCCGCCTGTGCGCGGCCCCGGGAGCGCGCGGGGGCGGGGCCGGCGCGCCCGGCCTCCCCGTTACCCGCTCCGGGGCCGCCTCTCCGCCCCGCGCTGGAGCAGCGGGGGCTCGGGGAGGGCTCCACCTGAGAACCCGCATCGCCTCCTGCTCGCTGTCCCTCTCCAGCCTTTGACTGAATCCGGGGGCGGGGAGAGAATGCCCTGCGTGCTGACCATGTTGAACTTGAATCTGACACTTGAGGTTCTGGAGAGCGACGGCGAAAGACATCTCTCCACCTCGCTGTGTTCCTGAAAGGGTTTTTACAGCAGCGAGGGACCATCTTCCCCGTGTGGCTCAGAGGGGGCGGGATGGAGGCCCCTTGAGTACCTAGGACAAGATCAGCCGCAGACCCTTCCGATTCCCATTTTTGCGCCATCCATGATTAGCGGAACTGATGGTACCTCCTGACCGATGTGGACAAAATACCAGCTATCCTGACGTGACCAAACTTTTGTGAAGTTTCCCTCCCCCCCTCCTCTTCCTCCAGCCCCCTACACTTTGGCCCACCCTCAACCTGAGCCACTCACTGCTCCTGAAAACAGGCGGGCCTCCCTGTAAAACGTTCTCTGAGCGCAGTGTGAGCCACTAGCAACACCTCCACAGGTTCATCCCGCTTCCCCACAGCCAGTTCTTTCTGGCGTTTGTTCCCCCGCTCCCTGGAAAAGAAACGCCCGCCTGCAGATCTGGGGCATAGTGAGAGAGGTCCCCTCCAGCAGCAGTCCCCTCCTCAGCCCACACGAGCCACAGCATCACTCCCTTGCTTCTTGGAATAATCTCCCCCAGTAAAGTCTCCCTTTGCCTAAAGCTGAGGTGTTGTTTTTGTTTTGTTTGGACAGCTGAGCATTTCCCGCACAGTCATTGCCCTTCTATGGTATTGCCCTTCTATGGAGTCTCTTTCCCCCGTTGCAATAATCTTTTTTTTTTTTTTTCAAAAGAAGTCTCATTTTTGCCTAAACCCAGATTTGTGTTTTATTTGACAGTTTTTGGTGCCAGGATGCAAAATGAGATTGGGCCTTACCATAGACCCCTCCCATCCCCACCCAGGTAGAGGCACCTGGTGAATCTCTTGAGCTCATCTTCTATTCAGTGATTGGTTCTGGGATCCTGTGGTGAGTTTTGCTTCCAAAACCGTGCTCCCCAAACGCTGTCCGCTGAAGCCACTTCGATTCCTTTGGCTCTTATATGAGGCCTCTTTTCTTTTTCTTTCTTTTTTTCTTCCTTCTTTCCATCTTTCCTTCCTCTTTCTTTCTTTCTTATTTATTTATTTATTTATTTATTTATTTATTTATTCCTCTTGTCACAGCACCATTTGATAGATGATTCTTTCCTTGTCAAAAATCAGTTGACCATAGATGTATTAGTTTATTTCTGGACTAGAAAATTCTATCCCATTAATTTACTTATTTATTTTTAAATATATTTCATTGATTTTTTTACAGAGAGGAAGGGAGAGGAATAGAAAGTTAGAAATATCAATGATGAGAGAGAGACATCGATCAGCTGCCTCCTGCACAACCCCCACTGGGGATGTGCCCGCAACCAAGGTACATGTCCTTGACCAGAATCGAACCTGGGACCTTTTAGTCCGCAGGCCGACGCTCTATCCACTGAGCCAAACCGGTTTCGGCCTATCCCATTTATTTAAATATCATGCTGTCAATATAAAAAAAACGTCCAAACCTGTAGAGAATTTTTATGAGTTTATTTGAGCTTAACTGACAATTGCTGGGAAGCAAGAACTCAAAAGCTCTGCAGAATGGCAGGTTGCAGCTTCCTTTCTGCATTTAAAATTAAGGAGGGAATGAATTTAAGGAAGATTATAAGAAGGTGTGAGAAAGCAAGGCAGGTCATCTTGTGAAAAACAAGCAAGGCTTCCACCTCTCTTTCAAGTCTTCCTTTCTTTTGTCCATAACGTTTCCTTTTTCCACTTTGTGGTTCAAGATACGTCTCAGGAGTCATTACTGCTCAGGGGCTTCCCCGAACATCCCTGCTTGAATTAGAGGTCTCTACCTCATTCTTCCTTAAAACATCATGCTGCAGCTTACTGGCCCTAGCTCATCTCCTTTGTTCCCTTCTTGTCTGTGAGTTCTTTGAGGGCCAGAGCTATGTTGTTGTTTAAAAAAAAACCCTCCCTATTCCTAGCTGATGTGTAGTGCTTAACACCAATTGGGTTTAGAGTAAATATTTGTTGTTAATAAATGGCCAGCTGGCATGACCGGTTGTTGAGCGTGGACCTATGGACCAGGAGGGTACAGTTTGATTCCCAATCAGGGCACGTGCCTAGGTTTGTGGGCATAATCCCCAATGTGGGGAATGCAGGAGGCAGCCGATCAATGGTTCTCTCTCATCGTTTCTCTCTCTCTCTCCCTCTCTCTCCCCCTCCCTTCCGCTCTGAAATCAATAATAAAAATATATTTTTAAAAATGGTATAAATTATAGTACCTCAACTCAGAACCTGGCTTTCTCTAGCTAGGACTGCAAAAACAAACCAACACAGAAACAAAACAAAGAAGGAAAGCACCCAAAGCCTTTGTATGATAATTTGCATACCACACACTTCTTCAGGATACTTTTCATTATTTCAAATCATTTTTAGAAATAAAGTCAGAGAAAATATTACTCAAAGAGTAGCTTCAGAATGATCTCTTTCTTGGTGACTGCAGAAGGTAGGCCCCTGAACTCTCCCAAATACCAAAATTGCTTTCCCAAAAATAAAGGATTAAAAAATAGCTCTGGCCAGTGTCGCTCAATTGGTTGGAAGGTTGTCCTTCACATCGAAAGGTTGCAGGTTCTATTCCTGGTCAGGGCACCTACCCAGGTTGGGGATTCCATCCCTGGTTGGGGTGCATATGGGAGGCAACTGATCGATGTTGCTCTCCCACATCAATGTCTCTCTCTTTCTCCCGCTCCCTTTCTTTCTCCCTGAAATCAATAAAAAACATATTCTCAGGTGAGGAATACAAAAACGAAACAAAAAGAATTAAAAAATAGGGCAGACTTTGGGAGACTACAACAGTGCCGTCAACACTGAGACAGGTTCCCCAGAGAAAAACCTGCTTCCGTGAGCGCTGGCAGAGGAAGCTGTTGGCTAAGGAGTTTTGAGAGGGTAAGAAAGAAGCTCATCAGAGCCCATTATGAAGAACTCGGGGCCAGGAAAAGACAGCCATGACCTCTTCACCCTGATGCTCACAAACACAAGTAGAGACGCTGGCTGATCTTGGTAGGACTCGATGGGTATTCAGGGTAAAGTATTGAGCCTTGGGTCGACCCAATGTAGGCCTGGGTGGCAAATTGGTGTGGTGCCTGAGCAGGGGCCACACTGACAGAAGTGAGGAGGCTGGACACACACTGACAGGGACCTGATGCTCCTGGCGCTAGGGTGGGTGGTATGCCTTGAGGAGCCTTCCGGACACTTCTGTAATACTTACAGTGTTTTGCAGGAAATGATACAGTTGTTTTTTTTTTTTTCCTCTGCTCAATGATCATAGCTAACTTTACAGAAGAGCCCAGGTCTGGTGCCATTACAAGATCTCCACTCCCAGGAGAAGCCAGACTTTTAAATTGTGGGTGGAGTCTAGAGGAGGGTGTGGTATGCAAATCAGTCTGCTTTCCTGGAACCTGCACTGCTCCCCAAATGGAAAAGCTGTCCGTTCCCAGGGTCACTGGGAGGTTGGATGGCTAGAAAACTCCAAGGCTGCAGCAGCTTGGCGATCTCTACAGGACTTTCCATGAGTCTTCAGTTCTTCTTTAGTGTAGAAACAGGATAGACTCTATCGCTAAGGTGCTGAGAATTTTTGAAATAACACAATCACTACAGCAGAGCTTCTCCCCCCCCCCCCCCCCCCCCCCCAGTAATCGTGTGCTTTAATCTCTTCCTTTGGAAGTTAAATCACAACTTAAACCTCTTTGGGTTCAGCTTTTTGTGTTCTTCATTCTTGCGAGGGCAGGGTGGGCTGAGGCAGCGGTGAAGGAGGCGCTTAGTAGGACCAGTGCATTCTTTGTGACTCCGCCTCACCTCTGCCTGGGGGCGGGGCGGGGTGTAAATAGAAAAAGTCTCTGCGGCTGAAACCGGTTTGGCTCGGTGGATAGAGCGTCCGCCTGCGGACAGGAGGGTCCGGGGTTCGATTCCGGTCAAGGGCATGTATCTTGGTTGCCGGCACATCCTCAGTAGGGGGTGTGCAGGAGGCAGCTGATCCATGATTCTCATGGATGTTTCTAACTATCCCTCTCTCTTCCTCTCTGTTAAAAAAAAAAAGAAAGAAAGAAAAAAAAAAGACCCTGCCTTTCGTTGTTTAAAGAGCAGGGTTCTAGTATTTCTTTTTCTTTTTCTTTTTTTTTAAAATCAATAAAATATATTAAAAAAAAAAAAGAAAAGAAGAAAAGAAAAAGAGCCTGCCTTGCGTTGTTTAAAGCGCAGGGTTCTAGGATTTTTTTTTAAATCAATAAAATATATTAAAAAAGAAAGAAGAAAGAGACCCTGCCTTGCGTTGTTTAAAGAGCAGGGTTCTAGTATTTCTTTTTCTTTTCTTTTTTTAAATAAAAAAAAAAATTAAAAAAAGAAAGAAGAAAAGAAAAAGACCCTGCCTTGCGTTGTTTAAAGAGCAGGGTTCTAGTATTTGTTCTTTCTTTCTTTCTTTTTTTTTTTAAAGCTTACAGTGTGCCAGATACCGAACAGATCTGTTTGATCACACCTGTCACTCATTTTTACAGCCATGCGAAGTGTGACCCAAGTTCAGCGTGTCCCGCCCTCGGTATCTCTGAGATTCTAACGCAGGTCACCGCGACCTCGTCCCCAGGCACCTTCCCCTCCACCCCCCCGCCCGGGCTCCGCGCTCAGACCCGGCCCCCCGGGGCGATGGCGGGGTCGCCGGGGCGCTCGGCCCGGCGGGGGGTGAGGGCTCGGCCCGCGCGCCTTCGCGGGGAAGGGGGTTTCCCATCCCCCTTCTCGGAGGGCTGGCCAGACCCGCCAACCATAGAGTCGGCGGAGCCCAGAGCGCCCTTCCCCTGGCCGCCGAGCTGACATCACGCCGCTGGGCGGGGCCTGCCGGGAGGGGCGGGGCCGCCGGAGAGCAGCCGGCGAGGGAAAGGGCTGCCCGTGCCTGCAGCGCCCCGCAGCGGTCACGGCCGGAAGCGGCCTCGTCGGCCCTGCGGCGCCGGAGCCCCTGACGCACGGAGCTCGAGAGCGAGCACGGGAGAGAAAGGGGCAGACATGGCGGCTCCGCTCGGCTCCCGCTGAGGAGGGCGAAGCGGGTGGAGGGCTCAGCCGGCTGCCTGCCTGCCTGGCGCGCTGCTCCCGCCTCCTCGCCGCTCGCCTTCTCCCGTCGACTGCGCGTCGCCCGCCCTGCTGTCGCCTGTCGTCCTCGCCTGCGCTCCTGCGGCGTCCGGGCTCGTCTCCCGGCCCGGCTCCCCGGGCCCTGACGCCCGGCCGGCGGGCCGCCGTGCACGGCTCCCCGGGCGCGGCGGCGGCGGGCGCGCTGGGACCCGTCCTGCTGGCCGGACCATGGTGAACACCCGGAAGAGCTCTCTGCGCCTTCTCGGGTCCAAGTCGCCTGGGCCCGGGCCCGGAGCCGGCGCCGAGGCCGGGGCGACGGGAGGCAGCAGCCATTTCATCTCCTCTCGGACCCGCTCCTCCAAGACCCGCGCCGCCAGCTGCCCGGCCGCCAAGGCCGGCGGGGGAGGCGGCGCCGGCGGCGCTGCGGACGAGGCCCGGGTAAGCGCGCGCGCGGCCCGCGTCCTGGTCCCCGCGGCCCCGCGGCCGGGCTTTGTCTGCGGGGCGGGCGGGAGCCTCCGCGGAGCTGCCTCCCGGCGGCCGAGCGCGGCGCGGCGCGGCGCGGGGCGGCACCGGCACCGGCACCGGCACCGGCGCGGGCAGGGCCGCGGCAGCCCCGCCGGCCGCGCCTTTGTGTGGGCGCCGCGCGGGGCCCGGGGCGGCTCCGGGGCGCCGGGGGCCGGGCCCTGTCCCGCCGGGAGGGGAGCGCGCGCCGGGGGCCGGGGGCCGGGCCGGCGTCCCGGGGGCCGGGGCCGGGGCGAAGGGAAAGTTCTCCGCGGTGTCAGCCCCCGCAGCGGCGGCCCGGCCCCCGGCCCCCGGCCCCCGGCCCCCGGCCCCCGGCCCCCGGCCCGCCCGTTGGCGGTGGTTCCCGCCGGCGAGGCGGTGCTCGGACGCGGAGAAAAGTTTGCGGCTGCCGCCCGGACACCAACTTTCAACACACACCCCGCGCCGCCGCCGCCGCCTCTCCGGCGGGAGGGGTCGGGCCGGGTCCCGGGTCCCAGGTCCCGGGTCCCGGAGCCGGAGGGTCCGCCCGCCCGCGGACCCGGGTTCGAGTTCGGGCTTTGGGTCCGAGAAGGGTTGCCTGCCCGGCCCGAGGAAGGTAGTCCTCTGCGAAGTGGATGTTTTCTTGGATGTCTGCACTTTATTTTTTATTTTTATTATTTTGTTAAGAGGGTCGTTAGTTTCCGTCCTTGTCACTGTTGCCAAAGTGGTTAGTTGAAGAAGGCCGTGGATTTAGTTTTTCTGTTTTTGAGTGGTTGACATTTTAATACAGTGTATACAACTCTAAGGTATAGCACACTCTGTGGGGTCGCTTTGGAGGAATCGGCACGTTTGTATGTGATGAGATCGGTCAGATTCAGGCAAGAGTCTTGTTTTTGTCCAGAAAGAGGTTGGTTTACCGAGGGTAATTTGGCTGGGAAGTGCTATTCACTTGAAATGTGCCTTTGCATCCACCCCCGTTTTTGTTAATTCTTCTTGGGAGAAAAGCAATGTTTTATTTTTTTCTACAGGATTATGGCTTAAATAGGTGCTTTCCCCCCTCTGTATCTCAGTGACTTTTCCCTCTGTATCTCACGCTCCCTCTCTGGCCCAAATCAGAATGAGCGGAGGTAAATACAACGCATAGTTTACGGTATAATTTTGAAGTATATTTACTATATCTTTGGAAAATACTTTTGGCTTTTATTTTGCAAGAACCTGGAAGATATTTTCAAAATTGTCTTCAATGGACAATTCGGGGGCTTGCTGATCTCTTAGGTTGAAATAAAGCCAAGTCTGAAAGTTGTGCAAACTATTCAGAGTAATTATTCTGAAAAACTAGGCTTCCTGTAGAAATTATTCCAAACGTGTACAAGCTTATTGACTTTCTGAAGCTAAAATATATTTTAAAATGAAGATAAATTTAAGAAAGTCTTCACTTAAGGGCAAATAAAATATTTAAAGTATGAGCATTTAATTGTATAATGCTATGTGAGTGCCTCATCTATTAGAGCTGTGTCTAATTCATCTGATGCAATTAGCTCGTCTGGCTCTGATCAGTTTGTGGCTGCATTTTTGAATTCATGGATATCATGCTGTCCTTACCCCCTGAGGAATGAGGTGAGGTAATTTGTCAGGCAGCTGTTATGGTGATGTTGAAAGGCAAGCAATCAATAATCTAATGTAGAAATGAATATCGGGTAGCTTTTAAATTGCTAGAATGAAATAAATTAAAGCTCTTTCTAGAAGGATGCTAATGAAACTTTGTTTCAAGAATCCTTTTAAAATGTTTTAAAGATGATAGATAACAGGCTCATGAAGATTTACTTTGAAACTATTTGTTTTTCCGTTTTAAGAGGATTTGTATCCTGGCTGTAGTAGATGAAGGAATGATGGAATGACTCGCTCTGAGAAATTTTTAATAATCCTCTACGATTAGTCCTTCAGAAGAGGATACGTTGTGATTCTGATTTTCCAAGTTTATGGGTTATATATTTGGGGAGCAGGTTGTACACTTCCTCGTTGTGTATTTCTGAAGTGGATTGATTTGAGCGGGGTAAGCTCTTCCTCCCAAGTTGGCTTTGTGTTACACGAGTTGAGCAGTCCCGGTTCTCCCTTTCTGGTGCAGGACTTGCCAGAGGGCGGGGAAAGCACCTTCTGTGTCTGTGGCGTCCACAGCATTTGCTAGTGCCTGCAAAGACTCATTTGATGGGAATGGAGTTGCTCGTGTGTATTCTGCTTTATGAGATTTATAACTGAGGAGGTTCCCCTTTCTCTACTTTGGTGTTATGTTCTTCATACTTGATGCTGATTTCCCCCTCTTCCTTCATCCACTGTGTCTAGAAGACATTTCATTTGGTTTAAAAACCATCGGACCACGAGCTATGCTTATAGTTTTGCTTTTCCCTAAGTATGTGTAGGATGGGGAAATAAACATGATACTTTCCATAGGTGATTTTCTTGTGCCCACACTTCTTAAATGTGAGATTGACTGGTGTTTTGCAGTTACCTGTAATTACTTACATGCACTTGGCTTTTTTTGTTTGTTTGTTTGTTCATTTAACGTGTATGAAGTTTGACCTCTTTTAGGTTAGTTAATCTGACCGTCAGTAATTAGCACTTATTTGCTCCACCTCAAAGTCATTCTCAGCAGACTGCATTCACAGAGTTGGAAAGCAGTCTTTGAAAAATATTTCATCTTTCATCTTTCTGTCAGGTTTGTTTGCAGGTGCTTTTGGCTTTGTCACTAGCTTTTTGTACTTTTTGAGATGGTCATTGACTCTGAGTCCACATGTTAGTTGAGAGGATGGAAATATTTTGAGTAACTTTATAAGTAAGCTTGCTTCATTTTACTTTTACTTTTTTTTTTTTTTTTTACTTTTTAAATATATCTTATGGATCTCTTACAAAGAGGAAGAGAGAGGGACAGAGAGTTAGAAACATCGATGAGAGAGAATCATCAATCAGCTGCCTCCTGCACACCCCCTGGGGATGTCCCTGTAACCAAGGTACATGCCCTTGACCGGAATTGAACCTGGGACCCTTAAGTCTGCAGGCCAATGCTCTATCCACTGAGCCAAACTGGTGGATCCTTCTTTAATATCACTCTACAATTATTATTCTTTTCCAGCACTCGTACATTTGCCAACATAACACAGAATGGTTGAAGTTGAGGATTAAACATGGAAAGGAAGCCTGAGAGGGAGATGTAATAATGTTTATTATTCCTTATGCCAACTTCACATGGAATACCATATAGGTGATATTGAGTAATATGGTAAGCAGTCACAATTTTGAACCATAGTAGCAGTGGAGTTCCTAGGAGTTGGAACACTAGATACACGTAAGGTTTTTTTTAGGTCGTGGCTGAAACAACACCTGTAGAAGTGAATGCATATTAATTCCTAAATTGTTTTTCCTGGCCCTCTTTTAACCATCCTTTGAAATGTCCTTGATTGCATGTTTCTTAAATACATAATCATAGATAAACCAGTAACCTCTGGAAACCAGCTAGACAGGTGGTGGGATTACAGCTTGTTATGAGAACTCAAGAGCCCAACCACTGTCTGCACCTGAACAGAGTGATCTTGTCTCTTCCAGGACTCACTTCAGAGAAGTGCTGCACGACTTTGGTTGTGTATTTGCGTTTCTTTTTGGACATACACAATGGAGTTTCATTACTCAGTGTGTTATGGACTGATTTCTTGATATTTGGGTTTTTAGTTTTGTACCAGGAGTGTTTTCTATTTCTGTTAATGTCCCTTCCCTGGGGGAGGATTTTTTGTGAAAAATGAGTCACTGAGGCTTTTTGGATAAAAAGTTCTATGGAAGTGCAAAGTTAGGGGAAAAACCATACATAAAATGTGTTAACTTTATTTAAATATAAGCTAGAGATTTTTAGAGAGTTAAGTATTTTATGTGGTATATATCAAACAATAGAAAATATATCACATTAAAGTTAATAGGCTGTAATTTGTGTTATCTTTTAAATACTTTGAGTATATGTTATAAGATTACAAACTTCAGGTTCTTTTGAACTCTATTTTGGTATTAGTTTTTTTTTTCATTTTTAAAAAATATTTCATTGATTTTTTTTTCCTTTTTTTTTACAGAGATGAAGGGAGAGGGATAGAGTTAGAAACATCAAAGAGAGAGAAACATCCATCAGCTGCCTCCTGCACATACCCCACTGGGGATGTGCCCTCAACCATGTACATGCCCTTGACCGGAATTGAACCTGAGACCCTTCAGTCCACAGGCCGATGCTCTATCCACTGAGCGAAACCGGTTAGGACAGTTTTTTTCATTTTCTTTTTCATTTTTAGATTGTTATTGTAGTTTTATCTGCAGGTAGTGTGTATGTATATATATATATATATATATATATATATATATATATATATTATATTATATTATATTATATTATATTATATTATTATCTTTGGTTACATTTCCCCCCTCTCCCTAGTTCTTTTTATTACAGTTGGCTATAAGATCCATGAGAGCAGGCTCTGTCTTATTTTCACCCAATTGTTGTATTTCCAGGCTTGGTGCAGCATCTGACACATAGAAATAAATATCTGTTAAATGAATAAAATAGCATAGTAAGGAGCATTTGTGAAAATCATAATGATCAAACTTTGAGAATAGAGGATAAATAAAACACAGTTCCTATTTTCAGGAATCTATGCACTGTTGTTATATATATGATAAATTATTATTTTGTATTTTTTTTTGTTAATCCTCATTTGAGGATATATTTTTAAAAAATAATGTTTTTATTGCTTTTAGAGAAAGGAAGGGAGAGGAAGAGAGAGAAACATCAATTAGAAACATCAATTAGCTGCCTCCTGTATGTCCCCTTCTGGGGATCTAGCCCACAACTTGAGAATGTGCTCTTTGATTTTCTTTAAGGACAGACAGTCTTCCTGGCTGGCTTGGCTCAGTTGGTTGGTTTTGCA